AGGTTCCGGAGTTTTAATTTTAGATGTTTGGCCAACAACTACCTAAGAGTTTAGTTATTATACTAGTGCAGTATGCTAGTACCTAAATTCGGTGACTTTATTATTTAAAACATATTGTTATTAGGCTAATAATACGATAGACCAATTTATAAACCCAAATACCTATAGCAACAACGACTATAATGGGTTCATTGAAAAATGTTAAGGGCGATTCAAATGATTTTTAAATTTAAAAGTCATAGAGATATAATACAACGCATGTACGAGCCAGACTAACATGTAGGTTATGGAGGTTTATGAAAATTAAAAAACAATGAATATAAGGAGAAAACTAATTTTGAAGGTGAGACTACTTATGTAACTTCAAGCAGAAATACGACGCGTTATAAACTTTCCATAAGAGGATCCTGCATTTAACCTAGTGATATTTACTAATATGTGGCAAAAGCAACTGGGACTAAGAAATGTCTTTAACAACACACTTACTTTTAACAGTATGTTATAGTATAAAAGTATTAAATATTTCTACCAAAAAGTCTTGGGAGTGGCTGCTTTGAAATATATACTATCAGTCTAATCTATATAAATTAAGAAGTGCTTGAATTATAGTAAATGAACCAAGAAAGTGAAAAATGTCAAAACTCGCCTGGGTTATTCTCGCTTCCAAGTAATAAAAACTTGAATTAGACAGTGGTTTGAATCTGGATTACATACGTGGTACTTTTGATTAAATTTATGGATTAACACAGTATTGTAGACTGAATTTGTTGAAGTCCAAAATTAATTGAAACCGAATATGAAGAATTAGATCCAGTTAAATATTTAGTCCTTGCTTACGTTGCTACTTGATTTATATCTACTTTATTTACAGGTCATATTTTCGAGAGCTTGGTGTTTAAACAAGTTTATTTCTCTGAAGAATGTAAATGCTATTAAAGCTTGTTAATAGACCATCAAAGCTAATAACAAACATAGATGACCAGTTCTTATTATTAAGCTATGAGCATTATTCAATATAACATTACGGTAATACTTTAGAGCATTAATCATAGGACTTTTAGAATAATGGGTTTACATAAGTAAAAATCGATCGAGAAGGTCAGAGCGGAAATGAGGATTAGTAGTAATAGGTTGCGTCTATTTAGTCGGGCTTACCAATGTAGAATTATGGTCTACTTCTTTATTAGCACTGCTCTAATAATAGACCTAATCCTAAAATTGTAGACTTGTCATGATATAACTGACTAATCTGTAAGATCTTACGTAGAAGTCATGCCATCGTCTACACCAAATCATCGTATTGTAACAATCACCAATACATGATGTAGAACAAGCTTAGGCTAGAGATAGAACAATATGTTTAGTATGAATAAAAGACATAAAATAACATTCAATTGGGACCACGCCTGCAAGGCCGAGCCATTCCATTCGATCAACTCCAATTAATCCAATTCATCGTTCCACCTTCTCCATCGTTGGGTTCTTCCCGCGTTACATGTCGAATATCTATTTCCCAGATTGTCCAGTGTTCAGCTTTGAAGATTGTGTAGTTAGGGCCAAATGCCACCGGAAACAGATGTGGAACGAGTGGCTTCGTCCTGCACCATCATCAAAGCCTCAGATATTCCAGAGGGATATAAGGTTGCGGTTTCTAGAAGCCTCCAACTTCACATGGATCTATTCTCGACCATCAGTTGCACGTCGCAATGCAACCTTCATAAAGCTCATCAACTATGACAGTGACGATATGATCCTTAGGGTGGATTTATCCGCAATGTTTCCATGTAAACCTAACGTACCGCCCAGTGTAATAACGGTCATGTACGCATTCATGTTATCATAGAATTTGTTGTTTTATAATGCATTTTTTATTAAATAACTAGATTATGCTGTGAATTTTGCTGTGGTTGTAATTTTTATTCGCCACATCCGACTGCGTTACGTTGTACGTTTATTGCATGATGGGATGACATCCCAATTCACAATAAGATTTATGATATCGTTGATTGTCTCCAAACAGACCGTCACTGTATAATGTTACTGAAGAAAGGTTTGTTGTGCCGTAAACTTTGTTTTTATGAGCAAGTGACTGTTGTCCTCAGTCTCAAAACAATATCCTTTGTCTTCTGTTAGGTAAGTTTAACTGGCCTACAGTTCGTGTTTTGGGCCTATCGGCTTAATTATGTACAGTTAACTAATTTGAGTAACATGTCTGTGCATGTCTGTGTATCCCTTGTAACAATTTGATCTTACATGTAAACTGACATGCCTCATGTAACAAACTGTTATTTGGGAATAAATTATTATTATTATTACTGTAGTCGGAATACTGAAAAAAGGCTTTTACGACCTTAGCGGAAACCAGTTTTTTAAACAATGGACAGTATGGCTTTAGAAAAGAATTTTCTTGCACAACACACCTTATAGTAAGAGATGGATGGATTTGCTAGATAATGGAAAATTACTGGATGTGGTCTACACCGACATTTTATAAGCTGCCACGCAATAGACCCTTTTTAAAGCTGGGAAATCCAGGAATTGCCTGACCTATTCTAAAGTAGATCAAAGATTCCTTGGCTGATCTCAGGCAGAAAATAAGAATAAATACCGAATATCTTTCGTGGAAACAAATACTTAGATGAGTATTGTAAGCTTTGTTCTAGGCCTCTTACTTTCTAAACTACATGTAAGCGGACACTTGTGCATCGTTATGTTCCAAAGTTACTTTAAGCTGATGGTGAAGCAGTTTGAGAAGTAACAGGGGATCCAGGTGCATATGAACTAAAGGCCGACTCAGACATTCTGGTTAGTTGAAGTTGTAGCTAATATCTGTCGTTGTTGTCAAGTGTGTTTACATGAGCATCAGATACGGAAAAATAGATAGTCACAGCATTGGGAAATCGTCAACGTCCTCAATTCTATCTCAAAATAATTTAGGAGTAATAGTGAGCCATGACTTTACGATGACGACCCACCGTTGTGTGGTTGCAGCTAAGAGGTTAAGAACCCTATGAGCTCTAAGTTGTGTGGAGGTTAATTCCTCACTATCTGACTCTAATAAATAGTATCCGATTAACTGAGCATTGATGTAGGCTAAATACCCTAGAAGTATCATGAGTTTACTCGAGATTATTCAAAAGCCCAAGCACCAATTGTAAAAATAGTTTGTTTCTCAAGATTAGTGAAACTCGCAATCGTACAAACAGCAAGCAAACAGGAAAACAAGTGAGTGTTAACAATCCATATATGTATATTCATGGGTGTTAATCGATTGTGGATAAATAATTGATTGTCTTTGTTCACAAACAATGAGAGAATAGATTGGAAATTGATGTGCAGAACGCGCTCAACCAGATCCATACATAATTTTACATTGTATACTCAATGCTACATTACAGCGGGTAGACAAATAATACAATGGTTGCCCAGGCTTAATGCAGATGGACATTGCCAAGTTGAATACAGATATGTTAACTACAGTATGCACGACCGTATTGCGATCCAAACATGCGGCAAAACACTGCTTAAAAGGTGACTGAGATATGTTGGAAAAGGACAAAGGACAGTAACCGATACAATTTCGAAATCTCGAGGTTTACCATACAGGGTGTCTTGGTAGGTAAGTCCTCTTCAATCTACCTCACCGTATATTAAGAGGTGATCTAATTTCCGTGTAATAAACACCAATGTAACATTTTTGACTTGATCAATCCTTTGATTTTCCTCTTAATAAACCAAAACAATTCAGAGGACATAACAGGCGAGTTCGAAGGCGAAGGATGAACAAAATACAGGTGGAACACAGGGGCTTCGATTGCATAATTAACTGTCGGAACTTGTTATCCGTGGAAGTGATATAGACACTATAAGCCAATTCATTCAAGAAAAGACTGGACACACAGAAGTGCAGATGATCAACTTTGATGATTTCTGTCGAATGATTGGGGGCCTATTCGATTTAGAGGGGAGTGGTGTGATAAAACAAATAAACCCGAAGTCGCACCTCGAGGTCAGAACCTAACGTGGATTACCCCTTCGTCGTATCAAGGTACTATGGATGCTTTGAAATCCGTGCAACACAAAGATTGTTATTAGTGAAATATTAGTTAAAGTAGGTATAAGCGAAACTGCACCACCATCGCATGGGACAGTGCATTGCGTGCGATTAGCCGATGCGCGTTGGTTGTCCTTGACTTTGACAGGGATCGATGATCTATCCGATATTCAGTGACTAAAGCATTAATAATCTCCGTGGTCATAGCAAGAAGTTTCACAAGCCACAATCTAATGAACTCAAAGTAGGGTCTCGTCTTTCTCATCGACTAGTCAATGACTAGAACGCCTTACCCAAACAAGTGGTATTTGCATCATCAGTTAATATTTTCAAAGAAAAGCTGGACCTTCATTGGAAGGAAATCTGTCAGGATTAACAAAGTGTAGTGTCAGTACTACGCTAAGCCCATATGCCTTATTCTATCTTTCGGACAAACCAATCTATTCATTCTTTTTAAGTCACATTCTGACCTTGTTAATTATTCGCTCATCAATCTTGACTGTTTTTACATGGGCGCATATGTTTGCGTACACTTCTTATCCCATTACCCATCACATATTTGCAACTTGTTTTTGTGTGGCCATAAATATTGAATAATGATTGACCAAAGGGATTTGGCTTACCTGCCATCTCCACTGAGTGTCGTTTCGTTTCTTTCTATTCCATTTGCTTCAAATACAAAATATATGTACTCAACATTCCATTCTCGTTATTTGACTTATTTAATTCCGTTATCGACTAACGTGATTTAAGTCGATGATTATATGCGAGAATAGGCGACATATATATTTCAATAACAATCATTCATTACGATGTACTCGTAGTATGATCTCGGGACACTAAATCAGGTTCACCAACCTACTATCCTTAATACTGAAAACTGAAGAGTGAAGACTAAGGACACAATCTAAAGGCGGGCTCAATAAAGCTCATTCCTTTCCAAGGTCAAGAGGATAGAGGACAGAAAGTAGGTTAGGATTTGTGTTAAGGATATACAGAAAAATAATTGTTTCAGTATCAAGTCACAATTCACGTGTTTTAGTTGTGTCAACGTGGCTTAGATGCTACCTAGTCTTTCGGCGTTAAATTCACATGTGCACTCTAGTACTAGAGTGTTTCGGTTTCCTGAAGGTTCATTATCTACTTTGTCAAATAAATTATAAAGTCTATGACGCTTGTGTGCACCAGCGTTTAGCAGGGAGGATCTTCAAGACTACTGGATAAAGAGTTTTGTTGAACTTTATCGGACGGACGCGATGCCAATTCTGACTTTTTGCTACGCGAATCTCAGGACTGTCTAGATTCTGAAACACCCGGATTCCATTAGGCTTTGGTCACAAAGGTGTTGGGCAAGGTTGTAGTCTATATACTAATTGATGTAGTGTGGTGACTTTGTCTTTGGGTTTAGTCCTTCGTTGAGAATAGGCTGTCGAGTAAAGAGTGTTCCGAAGTGATCAACCACACCTTCTGCTTTGTCCTGGTCTACCTTTATCTTTTGGGATTTACTCCGTTTTGTTATTGGATTGGAAGTCCAAAAATGAATCTTTGTTCTGTGGTTGATATAAGCGAACAGTCGCTTCGGCTTCTTCAGTCTTCAGTAATAAGTATAATAGGTTGGTGAACCTGTGTTAATAATGACAGATTGTCTTCCAGTAAAGTTCCAGCTTCTCCTTGAAAATATTCAGTGATGGGGCTGATACCATTTGTTCGGGTAAGGCGTCCCAGTCATTGACTACTCGATGAGAAAAAAGGGACCCCACTCTACGTTTATTAGATCGCGGTTTGTGAACCTTCTTGTTATGACCACGGAGATTTTTAGTGCTGGAGGGAGCAGAGAGATAAGACGTATTAACACCCAAATCATAATTAAAGATACGAAATGCCAGTATAAGGTCACCTCACACCCTACGATACGACAAGGGTTAGGCTTAGGTGTTTCCAAAGCTCATTGTAAGGGAGTTTAGAAAGACCCATCACTAATTTTGTTCCGACACGCTCAAGTGAGTTAGTATCTTTTATCAGACATGGGATAGCTGCTTGGATATAGTACTCTAAGTATGGTCTTACATAGGTGAGATATAAAATTCGAAACATTTTCTCGTCATAGCTTTAAATGCTCGGGGAAGTGACTATAACGCACGAAAACCTTTGACAGCAGCTGCGTTGCATTGGTTAGTCTTTATGTTCTTGAAAGCCTGGAAGAAATGTGCCACCAATAACATACTGGTAACTATTACCGTGTACGACGTGCATGAGTACACTCTTCCTAGAAATAACTTCTAAGCCTCAACCTTAAGCCCATCTGGTTAATTCGTTTTGGTCAACTTGGAGATCTAAATGATCAGCCTCACTTCTGACTGTTCCCCAGATTTTGACATCATTCGCAAACAATAATGTCGACGACTTAAGCAATCACGGCATTTTATTAACGTAGAGAAGAAAGAGTAGGAGACTTGATATAGTGCATTGGGGTACATCACTTTTGACCAGCTTCCATTCGGATAACGTTCCATTAACCTGCACTTTCTGTCTGTGATCACACAAGAAGTTTTCTCACCATTCCTGTACATCACCTGTTATCACGAAGCTCGAGAGATTCTGCATATAACCTTTTTATGAAAACTTGTCAAACGCTTTGTTAAAGTCTATGAATGTCACATTGACAGACAGACCGTTATTTAGGGATGCCGGTAAGAGTAGAGGATATCCGTAGGCTACTAGTATTTGATCATAGTTGTCTTCGAAACATTGCTCGTATATCATGGGACCATCGAGTAAGTAACACAGTTGTTAGAAAACGGGTACTAGGTAAGGATGGCAAATCAATTGATGAGGTAGTGAAACCTCATCAGTTGAGATGGCTGGGACACGTGTTACGTATGCCCAACTACCGAATGCCCCGACGTGCGATGTTCATTGGTATAGGAGTAGGTTGGAAGAAAGATAGGAGCGGCCAGACCAAAACATGGCACAAATCCATGAAGTCACTGACAAGTGAACTGAGTCATGTTGGTAGGTGTAGACTACCTGGTTGGGGACCGCGAGATGATAGCAACCGATGGTTAGAGACCCTGAATGACATGGCTCAAAATCGTTTGCAATGGCGCAGGTGCATCCACTCTTTGTGTTCTCCCAAATTCTAATCTTCTGAATCTTTCATGTCCCGCTCTTTTCTCTTTCCAAATTTATTTCATTGGATTATACTCTTTGAATAACATCTTTAAACCATAATCTTTCCGATTACTGCTTATAATTTTACTACCTCTACCACTATGGGATTTGAATCGACAAATGTATCTATGTGCTAATGTGGCATGGCAACTCAAACTGATCTACGTACATACGAAGTTCTACGTTGTTGCTGACTTACTGACTTGCGCATCTGGTCGGCAAACTTCAGCAACAATGAACTTGAGTTACATGGCCGCATGTTTACTTCTCTTCATAAGTGAACGGTCGTTTATTTGTCTGATCGTCATCGTGAGTGATGACGTAGTCCGGTACGTGAGACTATAGTAGTCCATATGTGGTGAGACCTCCAATGTCCTGGTATAAAGATAGAGCGATTGTGGTTTCTAAGAAATTGTAATCAAATTTTTTTTTGGTGAGCCACTTCCAAGGCTTTCCAGTTCTTAGAGGGTGCATCGAAATCTCATACTATCAAGTTATATTTATGTGTTAAAACAAATAAATAACTATTATGCTTCTACACCTGTTTGACTTTGATTTTAGTTTACTTAGGAAGAAGCTACTACTACACATTCAGGACTATGGTACCAGTCAGTCAGCTAAAACTTAGGACCATGCTCATATATGCATCGGTTCAAGTCGCCATACCTCATTAGCACAACAAGATCAACACCAAATTAGTAGTAGTTACTTCGGTGACAGTAATATATTAAAGATTGCATATATGTATATAATACAGGGGGAAAGAATTAGTTCGTAGAGAGAAAGATATGAAGCGATTTTAATCTCACGGTCTGAGTGTATACACCTACGCAACTGTGTCTCCAACCAATGGTTACGATAGTCGCACGAACCCCAACCAAGTAATCTGAATCTACCAACACGGCTCAGACCCCAAGTTAGTGACTTTATGAACTGATGCCACATTTGTAGTCCTCTTCACCCTAACGGGTCACTTGTTCATTTTAGTAATGAATCGCACTTAGGATATACACTTATGACTGAGTGTTAAAGAGCTCGCACAGAAGTCCGTGGAGACTCACAGTTCAAAATAGTGAGTTGTGGGATTCCCTACAGGAAGTTATAGTGGTGAAGCCCTCTGCTGAGTCTTTCAAAAGAAGGCTCAAAGATTATTTTATTCCTGTAGATAATAAAAGGGACTACTTTAGATGTTACTTTTCGACCACTCCTACTTTCAACTCAATTGTTTTGTCCTTCAGTTTCTTGTAGGAATATAACAAGAACCATGTATTCCCACTATCAAAATGTTCTTTTAATACCTAGACGCAGGTCTCAACGAACAAACAGTTAGCCAATTTGCCAAGCTAAGTGAGGGCGACTGTCAACGTACGTCTCTGAAAAATGATTTGTAGGCTGTGCTAGTTACTTCTAATAACACATGTAGTCTAAAGCACTTTCAATTGAAGCTCTCGTTATGCGATAGATTTTTTGGTTTCAGTTCATCATCTTAAGTCGTTTTCAGTAAGTGCTTTGCTAATTAATTTTATGCTTGTAATTCTAAAAAGTATATTTCCATCTTAGGTCTTTTAGGAAAGTATTGGTAATTGACTGTCTAATAAGAAGAAAGTAATCATTATCAATTGTTTGTTGGGATTATCACCGTTGTGATTACAAAGAAAGATGCCAACAGTAGATAGAGCTTTGGCCTTGTTAAGAAAATATCCTCGAGTTTCTCCTCAGAATATATCTGATCTTCCAGGAAGCAAACCACCCGTAAGAAAATTGATATATATCTTCATTGGTAGTAGAAGTATCACGGTTTGAAACGAATGCGAAGAGGTCTTGGTCATCGTGGTGCTTCCCAGTTTCAAGCATTCCCACCCTTGGGAATTTTGGGTGAAAAGACACCATTTTATCTTTCTGTTCCTAAAGAACCTTACAACATTAACAGCATGTAAGTAAATGCATAGTTCTTCTTACAAACCAAGGTCTGAAAACAATCTTCACCGTATTTCGCTTCTAGAGCTTCAAAGACTGATAGACCTTAATCGAATAAATCCACTAGAGCCTATTGACATTTCCACACTATGTAACACCAATCTTTACCGGTTAAATGTGGATCATGATCGACAATATGGTTTCCATCTAACTGACGAAGTAAGGTTGTGTAATAAACTGTTTAAATAATTGTAGGGTATCGATAACTTTGTTACTCCTGTCAATATTGAAGTTCAGTATGCTAGTGAAGAAGTAATTGCAGCTGTGGAAAGAGTAGGGGGAATAATCTGTAACCGTTATTATGATCTGTATTCCGTTTGGGTAAAATCTGACCCTCAAGGATTCTTCATGAAAGGCATTCCGATCCCAAAAGCTAAATTGCCTCCTAATGTAAGTCACAAAACGATTTCCTGTTTCATGTAGCTAGTATGTGTTTTATATATTAAAAACAGCATTAATTATCTTGAACGTGCAGATGAACCTTTACGCCATGCGTCGGTAAAATACTATAGTTAGTTACATTTTGTTATACTTTTTAACTTTTGTGCGCTAATCAGGGACGCTCTTTCAACTAGTACTTTGCAGATTCTTATCCTTTCTCTTTCTATACATGTTGACTTCGCTTCTTATCAAATTTTCTTTTTAATTGAAACTTATTCTTAGTTAATGGTAAATTATTTACCTAAGCGTTTTACGGGTTTCATAAAATGATGGCCTATTAATCCATAACGACAGGTTTTCGTTCAACATTCTTTATATTTTTTTTAAGCATAAGTTCATATACTCGGTTTTGATCTACAATTTTTGTATGAAACCTGATAATACTACTCCGCTGCCAAAACAAAACTGGTGAAACTATAATTTATGGACGAACCAATCAGATTTTATTTAGAAAGTCTTAAATTTTAGCGCGAAAATCATTCATCCATGTGGCTAAATAGCATTTTAGCATTATAGCTGATATCGGTTAATAACCAAAACCCTTATTTGCAACTCTAAACTCTAATCCTAAATTCTCAATTTTATTTATAACCCTTTCAACTCCAGTAAGTAAATTTCCTCTAGTTCACCCTAACATCTCTAAAAGGTTGTCCGTATACTATGGTTTCACTCGGTAATAGTTGGTTTGAATTCCCTGCCCAAACAATATGTATCTCATATTTCGACGATAATTCCGAGAATGGACTTTTTGAATTAGAGTTTCTACTGAAAAAAACAAAAGTCTTCCACATTTATTGATGAACCATTACCACTCTATCGCAAGAAAATATCAACTGACAACTTAATTCCAACATCCTTTATTTCTCAAGAGGTTTGCAGACAATGCAGCTAAAAGTAAATGACACAAAATCTGCCTTCTAGTGTTGGCTCTATCAAAATATGTCAAAGGTTTGAAAAGGGCTCATATTTGAACGGATAGGTAGGATGGCTAAAGTACGAATCTAGACGGTGTTCCGTGATGAAACACGATTATTAATCTGATTCTAGTTAACTTTCTGGGTAGGATCTTCAGGATTTTAAGAACCAGTGATCAATAACAGTTCGAATTCGACCACAGTACCACAAATGCACCATTTGCCTTTTACCTAGATTTTGAGTGTAATATTTTTCTTCCATTAATCTCTCTCTACTCATATTTCTTAGTTGTTTCAGAGTAAAATGACCTAAACCGAAGTAGATTTTTGCGGTTTTCCAAGTCTCTCTTTCATACTTTTTTGAAAATCAAGAATTCCTAGCCATTACAAATATCCAACCGCTGATATATATATATATATATATATATATATTAGTGGTTTGTGAAACAGCAGAAAATGGAGATCACAAACCTAATGTTAGGCAGTTGAAGAAAATCAGCATCTAGCCTTAAATGTCTGTATTGTGCTAGTAGTAACTCATTAAAGAGTTGGGTCCTCAATCTTGAGAACGCCGATGCTTTCCGTATGGTTCGAGCCCGCGCCACCGAATGTCACAGTATGTGTTGCAACGCAGACTTTACTTTATTATTATACACTACAATTTATTTCTATTCATCTGATACTGATGAATTTATCATCTGCGAATATGGTAGTAATATATTGTTTTCTGGCTACTCCTCTTTAGTAAACATTTAATTAAGTTTTACGGTGAGGTAAAATCTCACGAGTTTATTCGTAGACACATTCTTGTTGGTTTCTCTTAGACATTATAAATTTTTATCTTGTCATAAATCCTGAATTCATACCTGGTTAAATAAGTCCAGAGTATTCCTTCATTACCTCGAAAATCAATTTTCATTTTAAAATGCCCCGTCTCAAGGTTCATGATTAATCTGTTACTGGTCACTGGACAAATATAACAAGGAGTATCAACTTTAATGTAGCTAAATATCAGTGTACTGTGTGTTTAATGGGTGAACATACTCATTTTGAATTCTTCATATTGAATCTATAGTTAAATCTCATTTCGGGCATATCACTTTAAAAAAGTGTTGCCATTTAGGGATTTTTAGTTTGTTATTATCTTATTATTATGAGTCAGATAATAACGCAGTAGAAAAATATCAGAATCTGGTTTACACCATGTTACTGTCGTTCGGTATTTGATCATTATTCTTTGATTTTAAATGTATTTTGCTTCTTATAGGCGTTGATTCCATTCTACGCAAACGCTGAGTCTCGAGGTTATCTGGCGGACCCTGAGGAAGTGGCGAAATCTCGAATTTGGTTGGCTCAAAAGTATGGTTATCAACCATTCGATTTTAGTTCATCCTCGGAATCCACTCAAAAGCTGATGTCTATGCGGAAAGATCCTCGACAAATATTTCATGGACTGGAGCCTGGTTGGCTTGTCAGTATTCCTGACAAAGCGGTTTTAAAGCCAAAATCTGATCTCCTTGATGCCTACCACAAATCCTGATTCCCCCAGTATTTTATAAAATGCATTTTGAAAGTTATACTGTGGATAGATGCATGTTAATTAAAAATAATAAATAGTACATCCAGTTTTAAAAATCCTGTGCATAATTATGTAATATAAGTTTATGTGATTAGCAAATCACTGAAAGTTCTAAAAATGTTAAGAGAAGTTAAATTTTCTGGACTATGCTGCGTTCTATATATATGGCATCAAAAATTGATTGATAGCAGAAAAATTCCTTTACCTAGTTTTACCACAATCAGAAATGTAATTGAATTCGATTGTGTATGTTGGAACGACACAGTGGACAATCAAGAACACTTTCAGAACATTTCTTGCAACAACAGACATGACCACATGGAAGGAATATCGTTGAGCACTGTACTTGGAATAAACAAAAAGTATGACAGTTAATGAAAATTTAAGAGTTAAAAACGGTAGGACATCAGTCTTAAGCTACATACAGCCTAGCACAAATCTGCGTTAGACCAAGATGCCACACTAAATTAGCACAAGATGAAATTAATAGAATGAATGGCAACATAGTTAGAATGATTGCAGCAGCACTGTGATAATGAGAAAAACTATGCATTGGAGATTATGGTTTGGAAAGACTGCTAGAGTACACATGAAGGTATGTCGGAACTCAAGATTCAGGAGAAGATAAAGCAAATGCATCCGCGCCACTGAGACAGACACACACAACTATCACATGCCAATTGTGGTTTCAAATGTTCCACTAAATAGTAATTCTTAGAAATTTCTGACCGAAAAGTCATTTGCTAGAGACCTGTAGAGATCTATACTTAAAATATCGGGTTCTATTCAGTACTTTTTAAAAATCGTCTACGTTGAAGCTACAGTTATTTCATATATCAGTGTTATGAAATTTAGCTTTGTGTTTTTTAAATTGAGGAAGTGACCACTAGGATTGAAGCTTTGTTTCTATGACTAATTACTGAGCGCATAAGAATTTGCGGCGAAACCATAATTTATGGACGAACCAATGAGATTTAATTGAACAAGTCTTGGGTTTTAGCGCGAAAATCATTGATCCATGTGGCCAAATAGCATTTTGACATTATAACTTATGTCAGTTCGTGATGAAAACCATGACATTCAACTGCAAGTTTTAATTCTAGTTCCGCAAACTGATTTATAACCCTAGAAGATGAATTTTCTCAAGGCCACTTTGTGGTCGTTCAAATCTCGTCCATAAATTAGAGTCTCACTGAATTCGCTTCATTGTGTGAATGAATATATAAAGTTTCACCAAAAATTCGGTAAAACGATTTTTATTACTTCTCCAAGGACAACATTATCCTATATGGCTATTTCTTGTATAGATGTATATATATCTGTGAGAATTGGCCTGATAATTATATTTTATAAGATCATAGTTATCATAATTATCTAACGCTTAATTAAAGCTCAAAACGGGAAATCATTGACCTAAATCTTTAAACATAGAACATCACATTGTGGCCCCATACTTTTTGATGATCAACGCAGTCAGTTGAAGGATTTGGTAGTCGGAATTTTGTTAGTATTAAAAATGTACTCAGAAACATTAATAAAATGTGTAAGACAATGTTCCACTCACTATTGCGTCTTGACATATACAACACTCATTTTCCATACGAGCCACAACTTCGTCAGATACAACAATACTCGATAATGTAGCCTCCGGAGCTGATGGTGTTACATACGGTGTTGGAAGTGATTCTATCGTATTTAACGTCTGTTGTAGAAACAAGAATAAATCAAAAATATGTAACGGATTATCACGAAGACTTTGGTTTTCTATAAGTTTAAATAAACTGTAGCAAAAATGCTGATAATGTTAGCTGCTGTCCTAACCAATGATTCTCTATATTGCGTGCTTTTGTTGTTTCATATTTGATTCAATCAACTGTTGATTATGAATTCTTAAGGTTATCCTATGCTCAGTTTTTTATTTTTATACCTATCAAACTTCTTATATCTTATTACTACTAACAATATACTACACAATTTTACAAATGAATAAAAAGATATGTCCGAATATGTCATTTGTAAAGTAAATTTATTATGGATGCTAATGTTAAATTTGGCTGCTTCTATAATTAGTTGATTAGAAGAATGATCAATCATTGTGTATGAAATACATTATCAATTTAAATTACTACATGTAGTAAGTTCAATAGTCGTACTTCAAGAGTTGGAAAATTCATTTTAAAGGATTTATCAGGTGATCCCCAAGTAACCTGAGTTCATAATATATTCTAGTATTGAACTGTTGATTGAATTACGTTCACCTTTCGAAAGCCATGCATGAAAATATTTGGGGATACGTTTGGAAAGTGATCGCTTTGTACGGCTTATGTAACCTACTCCACAAGAACAGGTAGACGTATAAATACACATTGATATGGCCTAATACAAAAGTTTTTCCTTAACACATCTATGGATAATAGGTGGGCTGAGAAGGATGATGCGAAGATTGGAGGTATGAAAAAATATTTCTCAAGGATTTCATTAGACAATTTCTCAAAGTTTCCGCAGCAGTATAAAAGTTGCACAAAATGTTCATGAAGAGAATTAGGATCTGTATGAGTTCTCGCAGATTTTAATTTAGGTTTCATGTTGCGCTCAACAAACTTGGGTGGATAGCATCACGGCTCATAATACTACCAAGCTACTACCTACATCAAGGTACTTCTCGCGAGATTCGAACCTGTAATATTACTTTTTAAATTAGCTAATTTCAATTAAAAAAATATCACTGATCTACATGATGAATGTAAAAGAGAGAAAAATGTGTTAGAAATACCTTGTCTTCATCATTTGTTTTCATTTTGTACAAACCAATCTGCCTCAAAATCTCACGACGTGCTCCAAGAGTGTGAATACCAATCTATGTTTTATTATACGTAGTTTTTTTAAAACAAAAAAAAGCCGAAGACATGATTATCGATTGAAACGACTACCTTTAGAAACAGTCATAACTTACGATCAATCAATGTACGGGAAATATATAGACTGCACAACATCATGTGTCAAGTGTACAGTGATTCTTTCTACTTTCAACTAGTTCTCAAGATGTACATACTTGCACTAATTCATTAACTGTGAGAGACAGAAGAGTAACTTAGTTGTAAATTAGGATATAAAATTAAAGCATCACACTAAACTGTACAGGATAACAGACAAGAAAATCTCCAAAGAAACAAGTTAACCACCAATTTAACAGATTCGGTCGTATCAAAAAGGGTTAGTGAAAACAAAACACCCCACACGATATTCCAACTAGGGAAAAAAGGATATTATTAACAGTGATAATTGTGAACAGGAAAAGTCAATCAGGCACAATCAATACAGAGACACGAATGCATGTCAGCACGAGTTGCTATGCCACGACAAGATGAAATCAAATGTGATAGGAAAAAGTTCCGAACAGTAGTATAAATGGTAGTGAGAAAGACTAAAAATAAAAGAATAAAGTTTGGAAAGATATTTAATTCGAACAACAGAAAGTATGAAGTAATATCTAGTTCAACAAATACGGGGAAATGAGTTGGTGCATCCGCGCTTTTGTGATCCAATATCAGTTTCATAGACCGCAAAAGTCTCCAAAAAATTCAAAAAGACTAGTAAAGTACCAAAATATCATTACGAAACGAAATATCCCAAATCTATGACAATCATGAACTCCCTTGAATTAAAAATGCAAGAGATAGGACGCCAACTAAGTGAACTGAAGGTTAAGCGGCTCCCGAGAAGGACCGAAGTCTCTGGGTCTTATCCCACATAGGGTCATAAGTGAGCAATGTTGAGGAATCCCATTCTAGGATGAGACAACTTCTTAGTGCCTCATGGTTTTCATTGATTGACGATTCCACAAAACGACTGAAACTTATCCTACCATTAGCGCTCAAAAAGCCGATGGTTGATAAATTATACGGAATTCGGTATTCAGGTATTCGATTTTAAGTGAAATTAGTTTATTCCGTGAACACAGACACCAATAAGTATCTTCATTCTCAGAGGAGAGGATCATTTTAATAACCTTGGCCACGAAATTGGCTCGTTAAGTAATATATATTTAGTCATTCGCTTCACTATGTGACGCTTGTATCGTTTTAGCTGAACATAAAGTTGTCCGAAGAAACTCCGTTCTGACTTCCGAACATTATTATTATTAATGGCTTTATTCAATATTTTATTTTTGGTACAATTTATAATTCTCAGCACAAAGTATTTCAACAAGTTTCCTTTTCTTATTTCGTGATCGATCCTGACGATAAATACTGAGTGACCGCCAGTTAGATGTTAGCAGTTCAAGTATCGACATCTGAATAATGTTCATTCTTCTCAATGTATATTGTAACTACCACAATGTGTCTGATTGTACTTTTTAGTAACTTGTACATCGAAAGGTCGTAAACTTTTCATAAACGCGCCTAAGTGCGGTTAACAGACATAATAATGTGTTAGAACAAAGAAGAGTAGATAACTTGTTGAAATATCTAGATGGCAGGAACAGGTAGTCTAGATATTCAAGTAGGCTGCCGTGATGATATTCTGTACCGTTGGTGGTTGCCATAATAAAAGTTATTTAGTTGAATTGTATACAAAGTTAAAAAAAACACTAACGTTTCGCTACCGAAGCGATAGGAAATGGGTTAGTCTCGGAAGAAACATTAGCATTAAAATACAAGTATATCCAGTTGACAAGATCCAATGACAATATGAACGTCTTGAATTTCACTGATAACATCATTCGAAAATATTATAGAACTTGAAACTATGCAGTTCTGAATAGTAACAATATGAAAGCACATAATGAACCTTTGACGAATAAGAATAATCCAATGAATGGAAACTTCAAAATGATAGCACTCTATCGGATGTGCGAATCGAATTAATTTATTTGAAAGAACTGTCCGAATGAAACAATTAAAAACAACAGATAAACAAACTTACTTCTTTAAGATCACTATCTGTCATAGATTGCATAATTGAATAAGTAATAGCATGTCGTTGAAAATTAGGCAGAAATTCCAAAGATTGTGCATTACTAAGAATTATTTGAACATCTGAGTCGGGCTACAAAATTTAAAACAATATATCCTTATCTTAAAATTAAGAGGTCAAATAATCACTACAAAGTATCCAGATAATAAAATAACATCAAGTTAGAAATAATGACATTTATTTAAACATATAAACATTGGTATAAGGAGGCACCAAATACATATGCGCCACATAAATCATTCGAGTGTGTGAGGGTTATGATACTGTCCTTGTGCCCAAACCGAAGCAGGTGGTTATCTTAGGGGGCCACACCCAGAGCCTTTGACCTAAAGATCTGATCCACAAGGCAGTGGAGCAGCGTAAGGAGATGTAGTCCCATGGTAACCGGTGATCATCGATTGGTTCATACGCCATTTGTTCCTTCAAGATACTGGAGCTCATGTACACCATTTGTTTGGAATCAGGGTTTTCCAGCTTTCTTAGGTATACCCTCTGTACCCACCACTAACCCAGTTAAAGCGACAGACATTCGCCTTTCGTCCTCTCAATTTCGTAAACAACACCGCCGCCGCGAGAAGGTAGTGTGTAGGATTTCCCTGGCAGTGGTTGTATGCACGTGGCCATGTGAGAGCATTTCGAGAGGGAGAGGTAACTCTCTTGACTCTCGGCCGTACCAGGGCATTTGGGGGCTGCAAAGAGGAGGTAGGTGTAGAGCACCCTGAGTCACTGATTTCCTAAACATCCATTTACTTTCACAGATAATTATGTTTTCAATTTTTTAATTCACCAATCACCTCTAGCAATGGTGTGCACTTTTGCGCCTTCATAAAATTTCTACAATCAATCGTGAATCTGATTACTCAAAAACTAAAGAGGTTATACTATTACTATTCTAATTGTTGAAGAACAGATCAGTAAATCAACTTATCTATTAGTTAAATCTTAATTATAGTTGTAAGTTTTCTATATCAAACAATTCAAAAACAATCGAATTAGGAATGTTCAAATATCTGAAGAGAATTGATGAATTTTAATAGTTGAGATCATGAGACAATTGAAGATAGATCACCATGGAAAATCTAAAAGCACTGAAAGACTATTTCGTCCTATTGTGGTACTCCTCAGCAATGTACATCCACGATCCCACCTCGCAAGATTGATTAAATTAACCATTTTCAACTGTTTGAATCTAGTATTTCCACTATTAATTATCCTTTGCCAAATGCTATATCATTCATCTTCAATACCATCATCTACGTATTAATATACATTTTTTGAGTGTGAATTGGTTACTGAACGAAACTGTATATCTATTGATATACAATGGATTTAATTTATTTTTAAACAAAAGTACTATTTCGATATTTTAAATATTTGTGATTAGTTGTATGGATAAAGATCAGTTGGCATTAGTTTATTATCCATGTAGATTTAAAACTAATGACGCCTAATTATTGAAACATTTTAAAGTTGGTAAGTAAACTTTGTACAATATTCAATTTCGCCTAGAGCCCATTTGGGACCACTGCCGGTCCCAAGCCCGGATAAAGGAGGAGGGTTGGGCATGAGGGTTAGCGACCCCATCCTGTAGAAAACTAACTCGCCAAAAAAGCTAACCAGAAAAAATTATTCAGATCATTCAAATAACAAATGATTATAAATTCCTTTTATAGATTCCGGCAAAATTTCTTAAACAAACACAGCATCCGCTATGTTTGTAAGTTATCTCAAGTTGATATACTTAGAGAAATAAAGTGGGAGGAAGTTAAATAGACGTAAAATAAAGGAATTCGGATAAGAATAATAATAATAGCAAGAAACTTAACATATGAAGTACTACGGTTCAGAAAGAGACAGATAAGTCGAGGCGTTCAAATGTATACATTTATAATAAAACTCAAGCTTTAATGAAAAAAGTATGAATGCGATTGAATCGATGCGAATGATTAACACCTCTACAAAGTCTTCAAATAAAGATTATGTTATGCCTGTAAGTTAATCAATATCTCGAGAAGTAATTTGCCCATCAGAATCCTGGTAATATTTCTTTACTTCTGATTAAACTACCTTCCGTTATTGCTATCTTCCTAAGCCTACACTAATTACATTAGTAAATCTTGAGTTTGAGGCCAAAAATAATCCTAACTTCTATCGATACTTTTAAGTGTATGTGCTTCTTCTAACTCGGTCTTCGGTTCAATAATAGAAAACAAGCTGTAATACAGAGGTGGTAGTATATAACTCAAACATCTTTAGCTGATGTACATGAATTATCAGACCACAACTCAACCCAAATCTGAAATCATACTTTACAGATAATTATACCATAAATATATAGGTGGTAGAGAACGAAGCAAATAGTACAAAACTAATAAACAATAACTAAGAAATAATAAGTCGTATAACAATAATTAAAAGTTATAAAGCAAGCTTACAATACAAAGAATACAGGTATAGAATAAAACAACTGACCTATATTTATACAATTAAATTCGATAAAGTATTGTGAATTAACAGTTCTTACTTTCGAATAATTGTTATACTGAATTAAGAGAAAATAAAATTGACTGGTTACTATAGTACAATTTTAAGTTACATTAAACTAGAAGTAATAATTTCATTATTATGAATACTTTAACAGTTAGTTAGTTTATTATTATTATTATTATGAAACTGACCTTATCAAGTAATTTGACAGGTTTTGAATTTAATACACGTTGATATTGAACTAACCAAAAGTCCAATTGATCGTCTTTCTTTTGTTGTTCGATTTCCTCCTTTAATACAAAGATATATTTAAATAAAAATGTGCATAATCGATATACGATGATTGATCGATCACTGAGTATAGTGAGCGATATCAGTCAGTCAGTCAGCTACAACGTAGGACCAGGCACATATATGCATCGGTCCAGGATGCCATATCTCATTAACACAACAAGATGAACACCGGATTCATAAAAGTAGTTAATTCAGAGGTGGTAATATATAAAAGAAAGATTCCATATAGGGACATAGTACAGGAAGAAAGATTTAGTACGTAGAAAGAAAGATATGAAGCGATTTTAATCTCACAGTTAAAAGGAAGACAAAGAGTGTATACACCTACGCCATTGTGATCGATTCTGAGTCCTGTCACACAGTCTCCAACCATTGGTTACGATAGTCACGCGGATCCCAACCAAGTAGTCTGCATCTACCAACATGGCTCAGACTAGAATTTAGTGACTTCAAGAATTGATGCCACGTTTTGGTTTGACCGCCCCTAACTTTCTCCCAACCATTCCGAATACCGGTTAGCATTGCGCGCCGTGGTAATTGATGTTCAGGCACACGCAACACATGACCCAACAATCTCAGTCGATGAAGATTCACAATCTCATCAACTGATTTACCATCATTCCCTAATACCCTGTGTCTAACCTCACTATTACTTAGCCGGTGATCCCAGCAGACGCCAGCAATATTTCTAAGGCATCTGTGGTCAAATACTAGTAGCTTACGAGTGTCTTCTACTCTTAATGGCCATGTTTCGCTGCCGTAAATTAAAACAGAACGGACTGCCGCGCAGTATGCTCGTTCTTTTATTGATAGACCGATATCTCGCCTTCGCCATAGGTGACATAAGTTGGCAAAAGCCAAACGAGCTTTTCGAATCCGTGGTGAGATTTCGTCAGACACCAACCCATTAGGGCTGATCAGACTTCCAAGATAAGTGAAGTTGTCAACGCGTTCGACTACTTCACTCCCTATCCTTAGTTCAGGTGTTGACGCAGACCAGTCCTGAAGCAGCAGCTTGCATTTAGAGGGAGAGAAGCGCATTCCAAACATTCTGGCATTGTTGCTTAGTGCTACCAAAAGACTCTGCATTTTTTCAGCGTCTTCACCAAACAGAACTATATCATCTGCGTATTCTAAGTCGATAAGTGGACCTCCTGGATGGAGATCAATACCCGAGAATTCAGTAGACGAGAATGTTATTTCCATCAATAGGTCTATGGTGAAGTTAAACAAAAATGGAGAAAGTGGACAGACCAGTCCTGAAGCAGCAGCTTGCATTTAGAGGGAAAGAAGTGAGCGATATCATATTTGTTTGATTCTAAAGAGTTCAGTCGTGCTCCTAATAACTTTGTGACAACGTCTCAGACTGTAGAGTTGGATGATACGCGTTTGAATCCCATAAGAAACATCAGTTTCCTTAAGATTACAGGTATATCATGTTGATATATGTCAACTAGCACGAAACCCAAGTTATAAAGAGTTTTTGGCCGACTACTTGTAACCACCTAACATCTCAGAAATACTGAACTGAATCTACAGATAAAAGAAAAACTTTAAATACACATATACTCTGTTGTAAGTCTGGAATTTTTACAAATTAGTTTCCATGTAATAAAATTTAATTTGTTTCTATAGAAGATAAAATAATGTAATTAGAAAAATATATGTATATAAATATTTTCCTTGAATATGTAAAGATAACGTACAATTTTAGTTCAACCACATCACCTGTCACCAAATTAACGAAGTTACATTGGACAGTTAGTTAAAATGGATCATGAAAAAAAATTTATTGGAAATCATAGAATAGAGTGAAATGAACTTTACGTTAGACAAATGTTATAACGCTCTAAACGTGTTGTTGGCGATGCGCGAAGCGTCATTCGGCTAATGTTTGCTATTTTAAAAAAAGTTTGTTTCCGATGTGGTCAGTCAGTCAGTCAGTCAGTAACAACGTAGAACTTCGTACGTACGTACATCAGTTCGAGTTGCCACACCACATTAGCACATAGATACAATTGTCGATTCAAATCCCATAGTGGTAGAGGTAATAAGAGTATAAGCAGTAATCGGGAAGATTAGGGTTTGGAGATGTTATTTAAAGAGTATAATCCAGTGAACTAAATTTGGAAAGAGAAAAAAGAGACAATGAGGAATCAGGAGATTAAAATTTGGGGGAACATAAAGAGTGGATGCACCTGCGCCATTGCAAACGATTTTGAGCCATGTCATTCAGGGTCTCTAACCATCGGTTGCTATCATCTCGCGGTCCCCAACCAGGTAGTCTACACCTACCAACATGACTCAGTTCACTTGTCAGTGACTTCATGGATTTGTGCCATGTTTTGGTCTGGCCGCCCCTATCTTTCTTCCAACCTACTCCTATACCAATGAACATAGCACGTCGAGGCAGTCGGTGGTTGGGCATACGTAACACGTGTCCCAGCCATCTCAACTGATGAAGTTTTACTACTTCATCAATTGATTTGTCATCCTTACCTAGTACCCGTTTCCTAACAACTGTGTTACTTACTCGATGGTCCCATGATATACGAGCAATGTTTCGAAGACAACTATGATCGAATACTAGTAACCTACGAATATCCTCTATTCTTACCGGCCATGTTTCACTGCCATAAAGTAGGACGGGACGAACTGCTGCGCAGTAAACACGTCCTTTGGTTGATAGACGGATATCTCGCCTACGCCATAAATGACGCAGGTTGGCAAAAGCTAGTCGAACCTTCTGTATCCGTGCTGAGATTTCCGATGTGGTAAATATGGTCATGCTCAGGTATGTTGTAAAAGTACGCAAAAGATTGTCAACTATCGGCAAAAGTTTCGTAAAGGAAATACGAAGCAGACATCAAAAGAGATCCCACACAGACAAATTAGTATTTTACCTTAGATATGATGATAAATTTGTCATTTTCAGTAGTCAGTAATGTTCTCTTCGAATGTATTAATGCAAAACCTGGTAGCTACGTAACAGTTTAACATATATATGAAAGTACATTTCATTATAGAAAACCAATATTTATGTAATAAAGCACTTCCATCAGTGTAATTCCAATAGTAGAATTTATTTTGGATTCAAAAGCTTCTCTCTTTTAAAAAACTCAGTTACGTTTATTAAGAAAACCAGTATTCTGCAGAAGAAATTAAAGACAAATTAGTTATGTTAGAGAAATGACGGCATGACAACCGATAACAACAGAAAATCAATAATAGGTATGTAAACAAAACAAAAACGATAAATAAGAGATTAGAGTATAGTAGAGAAAATGGTCTGATGGATTCTCCACTTAATATATTTTAACTATACATGAATCTAAATTGTGTGAAACATTCAAATAATTTGAGACCTCATCATGTCTCCTCAATAAATCATATTGACTTATTTATATTACTAAAATCAGGAATTGATTTGTGATTGCGTAAATGTGATCAAAAGGACATAAATTGGGTCATCGAATGTCCCATACCAAATTATGTTACGGCACGTTGAATGGAAAAGAATTTAGACCCTTCAACTGTAAAATTACAAATATGCTGGCGTTTTTTTTTTCATTGTGATTCATTCTCACTTTACTTGGTTTATTTAGAGTATAATGACGTACCTGTCCAAACCGTGTTCTGATCTCGAGGACTAAGTCAAGAGAGGTAAAGTGGTCAAAAAATATAAAGCAACAAGGGTATCTCGATTAGACAACGAAATACTTAACAAAACTTATTACTAAGATTTCCAGAATAACATTAATATAACAAGACTTACCAAACGTTTTCGTAATTCCTTTTGACGATCTTGTTGTTCATCCATTAATTGAGTTAACAATTGTAGTAGTTCAGATCTACACTCATCAAGAACACGTTGATTAACCTCAGTACGCTGATTAACACGTGACCGTTCAGCTAAAGTAAGCCGGCAAAGTTCTTCTTCTACTAAGCATATCTCTTTTTGTAATCTTGCAACTTGACCATCTTTTTGACGTTGTAACTGAGCAAAAGCTTCTTTTTGAACACTTTCCTTTATGAGAAGTATTTTTAAAGAAAAAATTAAAATATAATATAAATCATAGTTATTACGGTATGAATTATCTGGAATTCAATCTTTTACAATGGAAACTGGTCGAATTGCTTCACAGGGGTGCAAAAACTAAAAAGTGTGTACATGTGGAGGGGTGGAGCTTGGCGTTCCTTCGTTATTATTATTATTATTAAATATACATCACCTGATTTCAGAGACATAATATTGCTCATAGTTTCACATTTGATCTAGAGACTACTAGCACTTTTTTTTCAAAACTGATTCTCTTCTGTCCAACATAATAAATTAGGGTAGATAGTTTAGTGGTTAGGTAAGCATAAATATTACAACCAATAAAATAATACACTTTATACAACTTCGGAGTAGGAATTTTTAAGTATCTCTAAAGTATCTTTGTTCTATAATAGATTCGGTTTATAGACACACAGGATTAACAAGCTTGGAGTACTAAATACAAATTATAAATCTTCTCTCTCTCTCTGCTGTAATTTCAATGAATAAATAATCTCTATCTCTCTTTATAGATCAAAGATTATTATTAAAACGAAAGGAAAGAATTTCAATCGATAGATCATAATGCAATGGAATAGTATGACTGAGAGATAGCTGTTCATGAATCCGAATTATTGATGTAATGCTCTCAATTGAACTGATATCAAAATACAAGGAACCTATCCAGTAGAATAGATTTTCTTTCTTTTTACAAAATAACAAGCTTGTAAACAAAGTATTGAATATAAGAACAATCGTGTTTAGAAGTCACTTAAAAAAAATAAACGACTGAAGGATATGAAAACAACAGTAGTTATTCTATCTTCAATGGAATCAATGTCTAATTATTAGGCTTAATTACTGTCCTGTTATATCAATCATTTAAAAATTAGTATTTTGGAGGAAATCAACTATTTTAATTGAATGAGAAACTTAACAAAAATCTGTATCAAAGACTCCCTTTCTTTATAAAAAAAAAACAATAAAATGTCATTTCACTTACCTCTAGCATAAGATTAAAGGTTAATTTTGTATGATCAGCACGTTTATTCGCTAAAACTTGTTCAACATATTCATTAGTGGAATCTTTATTATTTGAAAGACTGTGAAGTTTAGTTGAATTCAAATTCATTGTATGAACTGCATAAGCATTGTCTGTAATTGACAGCATTTCTTGCATTGAAGCTGTTTAAATAAAATTTTGTTAACAAACAAATTATTGAGATGGTGGAGAAGACTTGTAGCTCAGGTGGATGATTTTGATGAATTTTCGTTCTCTGAGCTGGATGGTTTGGTTGTGGAGCTTTCATCGTTCTTCTGAACAACATCATTAGCACAAACTTTCGAAGAACTTCTTTTGGAAGTTTGTGCTGATGATGTCGTTCAGAAGAACGATGAAAGCTCCACAACCAAACTATCCAGCTCAGAGAACGAAACCTCATCAAAACAAATTATTATTCAGTTCCTATCTAACTAATTAAAAAATACAAACAATAATGACGATTATCAAACAGAACCTAAAAATTATCTATTAACTAAGATATCTAAATATGATAAGCCCAATTACCAACTACGTTTTTCACCAATACAATCAATAATTAGACCGATCTGAAATTTCGATTACATTTAGACAACTTACATTAACATTTTTCCCATGACTATAACTTGATGATAAGCAATAAAATAAAAATGGCTGTTTACCAAAGTACTATAACAAATGTTGAAATAGGTGGCTTAAAGTGGTTAAAATACTCCACTTTCGATTGGAATATCTCAGGTTTGTTTTCCATCCGATCAAATACGATTTGACCAACCACGTATTATCAATATCTATCCAACAAACAGTGTGGATAAAAGCTGTCATAAATAAACCTGTATGTATATCAACAGCATACAGTTACAGATCATTTTATCTGTTTAAAAAGATAATGGATTACTCTACTGTGTCGTTTTCAGTGATATACCATTACTACTTAAAATTAGTATTTATTATTCTATAATACTCAGAGCCTGTTAAATCACGGTAAGGAATATGGTAACGCGTTAAAATGTAGTGACATTTTTGTCATGATATATAACTATATTATGTATTGTTCAGTGCATTTCTTAAAATTTTCAATAGTTCCCAAGTTGGAAATTTATCAAAATAAGTTTATGACTATCTCTTTTGGTCTACTTTGTTTAATAGTATAGTTAAAGGGTTTTTCAAGTTTGTCATAAATTGATCCCAGTTTGGGTACCACGGAAACCTAAGGAGCATTGTACAACAGTTTCATCCTAATATCAGACTCCTCAGCAGAATGCTAGGGATCGAACACAGGACTTATAGGTTTGTCAGTCAACGCTTTAACCGTTAGAATAACTGAGTTGGCTTCTGGTGATATAATTTCCACTACAATGGGTCTGCGATATAGTGCAACGATCATTTAATACCATCGGTAACAACTGTTCAAATAGACTGAGCTAAACTAAACTTCACTTGTTATGATATTCCCAATTAAACTTTAAGAATAAATTTCGAATCAAATCACTGGTGAGTACAGAATAATAATTTTACTATATTCCATGGTTTATAATAGTGTTTAACTGAAATCAATCTGTGATGGACACAACCTACTTCCTTTAATGTTAATTTTGAGTTTAATTATAAAAAGACTTTTCATTGTACTTTGATAGTGGTGCTTTATTGGTCTCTATCTGGTACTCTTTGATCAATGGGCTTCACAGAACTTGATGAGACTAGGAGCAATAATATGACATGAAGAACGTATATTTCGATAGAAAGTGAAACTGAATGTACTGGGGATTATTTAAAGGGGATTCTAGCATCTTCTTAACTCATATTCCAGTACCGATTGGCTAAAAAACAAATCAATCAAAATACTCGGAATATTTTCACACTGACCATGTAAGTTATATCGCTAAGAACTGATCCATCTAACAGATAGCTAAAAATGATATTCACAATATAACGAACCAGATAAATATTTATCAAACAAATTAAAAATATCCACTCTCCTCCAGTACAATAATAAAAAAGCTATAATACAGCTTAAAAGGGAATACTGAGAAATTATAAGAGCAAAGTGGACATTAATTATATACACTATTGGGGAGATATAAAATATTCCTCCAAAAAGTCCAGAGCGACCCTGAAAATTCTGGGAAAGATTTTAACCAATGGGCGTTGAATAGAAGCGTCTCAGAAACATTTAGAAAGTGAAGAGTCACGTGCCACACTTCTGATTGGATGGTCACCTATTTTGCTACTATGTTTAGTATAGGTCCATAACCTTCCAGAAGTACGAAACCATTTGCAATACCATGGATACCCTTGATTTTCTGTACATAAGCTAACCTTGGAGTAAAACAATTATTCCACACCTTGCACATTTTATTTTTTCTTCAGGTTGTCGCGTAGATTTAGTTGGGATTATTAGAAGAGATTAAGAAAGTGTTGTAACGTGTGACTAACCATTGCCAAGAAAGAACGTAAAGTTGATACATCCGTCGGTGGAGGCATGGACTTAATGGCTTTGACATTTTCAGGATCAGGTTTTCTCCCGTTTTTATCGATTATGAATCCCAAATACCGAACTTGCTCCATGTAAAAATCACATTTTTCGGCACGCAGTATAAATCCATAATCTGCTATGCGTCTAAGAACCGTATCCACCTTATTCTCTAAATCAGCATAGTCTGTACCCATGATCAATATATCATCGAGATAAGCCGCGGTACCAGGAATGTCTTGTAACATAGTGTCCATAACTTGTTGGAAGACTGAAGGGGCGGTCTTTACTCCAAAAGGAAGTCGGTTATATCGGAACAATCCCTTGTGAGTGTTTATTGTCAAGTAATGCTTACACTCATCCGCTACCGGGATCTGTAGATAAGCGTCTGATAGGTCTAATTTCGCAAAATACTTACCCCCATTCAGTTTCGCAAATAAATCCTCTGGTACCGGCAATGGGTATTGATGGGCTTCAAGCGCTTCATTTAATCCAGTCGAATAATCTGCACATAACCGGATACTTCCATTAGGCTTTTTAACAACCACTATTGGAGCTGCCCAATCAGAAAAGTTTACTGGCTCTATTATTCCACTTCTTTGCAGACGCTCTAACTCTTGTTCAACAATAGGTAGCGCTGCATAGGGTACTGGGCGTTTTGGTCTGAAGACGGGGGTGACTCCTGGTTTAAGAATCAATAGTGCTTTTACCTTTTTGCATTCCCCCAACCCTTCCGTAAACACTTGACTGTGTCTTTCCAATACAGTACTCTTCAGATCCTTTTCCACCGGTTTATTGGTTCTCACTGCGCTGCATATGTGGTTAATGGGGTGATTTGCTAATTGTAGTGTTTCTATCAAGTCTAGACCTAGCAAATCTAGTCCTGGATTCTGTGTAAGATATAAAGTTGCATTCGTTTTCGCGTTTCCTCTCGAAACTGTACAACAAACCTCTCCAACAATACTTAGTTTTCCTCCAGATGCGCTGTGAGCTAACTGGGTTGTTGGGAGCACCTGTGGTTTACCGATAAGATTCCAAGTTCTCCGACTAATAAGTGCGATGTCAGAAGCGGTGTCGAGTTGCAGGCGGGCACGCTTTTTATTTATATCCAAGTTTACATACTTTCTTTGGCGGCAAATTCGTGCTCGATTATGTGATACCAATATTTTGTTAGTTCGAGCACTAAATCTGTATTTCTTCGAGTAGGGTTTCAAAAAATGTCGTTTATGGGTTCTTTTTCTGTAGCAGTTTTCTTTATGTCCCTTGCGATGACACTTGCTACAACAATGTTCTTTATATGGGCAGAACCTTTTATAATGCCAACCACCACAAGACCAACATGGAGATGAAGGCTGATTATCTGTGTGCGATACCTTTCTTGAGCAAGAATCGTTCTTTCCGCTTACAGCACGAACGTATGGCAACTGGCCATTATTTTCAACCATCGAAGTGTCATGTTTTAGGTTTATCAATCTCTGGCACTCTGTGGTTACTTCTTGTAGTGTCATATTCGGACATTGTTCAATTTTACTCAAAATTCTAGTTCTAATATCGGCATCTTCGGGAGATTGGAGGCTGCACACAAATACGAGACACTTAAACTGGTCTTCCATCATTGCTGATAGTTTGAAGCGCTCACATTCACGGTTTACTAAACCCGCATGCTTCACCCCGTCATCATCACCTGCTTTTGTCATCTTGAGACATTGATAACGAATATTAAACAAGCATGACTGTTCAGCAAAGATTTGCGACAAAATTTCAATCGTTGCATCAAAAGAAAAATCTCTTGGATTCTTTGGAAGGATAAAGGTACTGTTACGTTCATGTTCAACAGTTCCAAGTTTTCGCAAGAGTATTCTGACCTTAGCGGCGTCATCAAGTTTTTTGAGGTCGACCTTGAACAAATCTTCATATTTCTTGAACCAAGTTTCAAAAGTAATGCCACCTGAACCATCAAAATTAAATTCATGGATAGAATTAACAATCTGGTTAACATGAGATTTGAAGGGATCATCTATAACTTCTTTTTGGTCCAGGTTCATTTTCTGAGTTAGCGTCTCTATCATGCGCATCTGGACGTTTTTCTTGGCGTTCCAATAAGGCTTCGAATTGTCCAGATGCGCATGATAGAGACGCTAACTCAGAAAATGAACCTGGACCAAAAAGAAGTTATAGATGATCCCTTCAAATCTCATGTTAACCAGATTGTTAATTCTATCCATGAATTTAATTTTGATGGTTCAGGTGGCATTACTTTTGAAACTTGGTTCAAGAAATATGAAGATTTGTTCAAGGTCGACCTCAAAAAACTTGATGACGCCGCTAAGGTCAGAATACTCTTGCGAAAACTTGGAACTGTTGAACATGAACGTAACAGTACCTTTATCCTTCCAAAGAATCCAAGAGATTTTTCTTTTGATGCAACGATTGAAATTTTGTCGCAAATCTTTGCTGAACAGTCATGCTTGTTTAATATTCGTTATCAATGTCTCAAGATGACAAAAGCAGGTGATGATGACGGGGTGAAGCATGCGGGTTTAGTAAACCGTGAATGTGAGCGCTTCAAACTATCAGCAATGATGGAAGACCAGTTTAAGTGTCTCGTATTTATGTGCAGCCTCCAATCTCCCGAAGATGCCGATATTAGAACTAGAATTTTGAGTAAAATTGAACAATGTCCGAATATGACACTACAAGAAGTAACCACAGAGTGCCAGAGATTGATAAACCTAAAACATGACACTTCGATGGTTGAAAATAATGGCCAGTTGCCATACGTTCGTGCTGTAAGCGGAAAGAACGATTCTTGCTCAAGAAAGGTATCGCACACAGATAATCAGCCTTCATCTCCATGTTGGTCTTGTGGTGGTTGGCATTATAAAAGGTTCTGCCCATATAAAGAACATTGTTGTAGCAAGTGTCATCGCAAGGGACATAAAGAAAACTGCTACAGAAAAAGAACCCATAAACGACATTTTTTGAAACCCTACTCGAAGAAATACAGATTTAGTGCTCGAACTAACAAAATATTGGTATCACATAATCGAGCACGAATTTGCCGCCAAAGAAAGTATGTAAACTTGGATATAAATAAAAAGCGTGCCCGCCTGCAACTCGACACCGCTTCTGACATCGCACTTATTAGTCGGAGAACTTGGAATCTTATCGGTAAACCACAGGTGCTCCCAACAACCCAGTTAGCTCACAGCGCATCTGGAGGAAAACTAAATATTGTTGGAGAGGTTTGTTGTACAGTTTCGAAAGGAAACGCGAAAACGAATGCAACTTTATATCTTACACAGAATCCAGGACTAGATTTGCTAGGTCTAGACTTGATAGAAACACTACAATTAGCAAATCACCCCATTAACCACATATGCAGCGCAGTGAGAACCAATAAACCGGTGGAAAAGGATCTGAAGAGTACTGTATTGGAAAGACACAGTCAAGTGTTTACGGAAGGGTTGGGGGAATGCAAAAAGGTAAAAGCACTATTGATTCTTAAACCAGGAGTCACCCCCGTCTTCAGACCAAAACGCCCAGTACCCTATGCAGCGCTACCTATTGTTGAACAAGAGTTAGAGCGTCTGCAAAGAAGTGGAATAATAGAGCCAGTAAACTTTTCTGATTGGGCAGCTCCAATAGTGGTTGTTAAAAAGCCTAATGGAAGTATCCGGTTATGTGCAGATTATTCGACTGGATTAAATGAAGCGCTTGAAGCCCATCAATACCCATTGCCGGTACCAGAGGATTTATTTGCGAAACTGAATGGGGGTAAGTATTTTGCGAAATTAGACCTATCAGACGCTTATCTACAGATCCCGGTAGCGGATGAGTGTAAGCATTACTTGACAATAAACACTCACAAGGGATTGTTCCGATATAACCGACTTCCTTTTGGAGTAAAGACCGCCCCTTCAGTCTTCCAACAAGTTATGGACACTATGTTACAAGACATTCCTGGTACCGCGGCTTATCTCGATGATATATTGATCATGGGTACAGACTATGCTGATTTAGAGAATAAGGTGGATACGGTTCTTAGACGCATAGCAGATTATGGATTCATACTGCGTGCCGAAAAATGTGATTTTTACATGGAGCAAGTTCGGTATTTGGGATTCATAATCGATAAAAACGGGAGAAAACCTGATCCTGAAAATGTCAAAGCCATTAAGTCCATGCCTCCACCGACGGATGTATCAACTTTACGTTCCTTCTTGGTAATGGTTAGTCATTATGGAGTTTTTCTTCCAGATCTGCATCGCCATCGTGCTCCTCTTAATTGCTTATTGAAAAAGGATACTAAATGGTTCTGGTCAACTGAATACCAGGAAGCATTCCTAAAACTGAAGCAGCTTCTATCATCGAACCTTCTCCTCACACACTATGATCCCGATCTTCTAATTATAGTCGCAGTAGATGCGTCGACCTACGGAATCGGAGCAGTAATTTCACATGCCTACCCTGACGGGTCTGAGAAAGCAATCGCTCACGCTGAGAGATCACTGACTATGATTGAAACTACAGTCAAATAGAGAAAGAAGCCCTCGCGATTATATTTGCTGTAAAAAAAGTTCCACAAGATGTTGTTTGGTAGGCAGTTCACCTTACTTACAGACCATAAGCCGTTACTGACAGTTTCTGGATCTAAAAAAGGCATCCCGGTATATACAGCAAACCGGCTACAGCGATGGGCTACCACACTGCTGGGCTATGATTTTAAGATAAAGTATCAACCAACAACGGATTTCGGACAGGCAGATGCACTCTCAAGATTGATTAGTCTGCATGAAAAACAAGAAGAAGAGGTGCTTGTAGCTGCTATAGATGTCGAGGCCGAGGTTCACAAGATATTGTCAGACGCAGTTTCCGGACTCCCAGTCACATTCGAAGCCATCAAAGCGGCTAGCAAGAAGGATAATGTATTGAAGATTGTTCGCCATTGCATACTCAACAAATGGCCGTCATCTAGACTACACGGAGAATTCTTACAATATTTTCGTCGACGAGAGTCATTAACAGTTGTCGATTCATGTATAATGTTTGGCCATCGTATCGTTATCCCCAGAAATCTTCGACACCAAGTCATTAAACAGTTCCACAGCGGGCATCCGGGGATAAGTAAAATGAAATCACTAGCTCGTAGCTATGCATACTGGCCGTCAATGGACCATGATATAGAGCAAAAATGTCGCAGCTGTTGGTCCTGTCTAGAGGCTGCAAAGAATCCAACGAAAGCTGGACCACAACCATGGCCTAAACCAGACGGGCCTTGGCAAAGAATACATGCGGATTTCTCCGGACCAATACAAGGCAGGAATTACTTAGTTGTTGTAGATGCTTTCACAAAATGGCCAGAAGTATATGACATGCCGAATACGACTTCAGAGAGTACAATAAGAAGATTGTCAGGATTGTTTGCTTGTTTTGGGGTTCCAGAAATCTTAGTGACCGCCAATGGTACTTAGTTTATGTCATCCGCCTTCAAACACTTTTGCAGTGAAAATGGCAAATTGCATCTACAATCTCCTCCGTACCATCCTCAGTCGAATGGCCAGGCAGAAAGATTCGTGGATACGATTAAAAGAGCTCTGGTCAAAGGGGGAGGTGAGGGTATCCCGGAACAAGTGATTAATAAGTTCTTGATATCTTACAGAGTTACCCCTAATCCGGCAGTACCAGAAGGAAAGTCTCCGGCCGAGTGTATGTTCGGAAAGAAAATCCGGACAGTCTTTAACAGTATGTTGCCGCCCAGAAAGACCAATAAACCCACGAATGAAGATCGTAAGGTCAATCGTAGCTTCCAGGTGGGTGAAAAGGTACTTGTCAGATCGTATCAAGGTAATAGGAAGTGGGAACCAGGTGTCATAGAACGTCGAATCGGAAATGTACTGTACCTAGTCCGGAAAGGTGTCGGAAAATGCATAAGACATATAAATCGAATGCAAAGAAATGATAGTACAGTGGTCACAGAAAACCGGCTCCCATTTCAATTGCTCGTAGATTCATCTCAGAAGAACTGTCATGAGCGCAAATATCGAAAAGACAAACGACGCAGAGAGAAAGCTGTACAACCCTCGAGAGTAATGGACCGCAAGAGGAATGCGACACCCAAGCTTCAGGTGGATCCAAGAAAAAAATCTTACACAACGGACTTTAAAGGGGGGAGGTGTGACGACGGACCACCGGTGAACTCGAGGAAGCTGTAAGAGGCTCAGAAGGAGCCGAAGACGTCCCATCCAATCACCTTTTGGAAGAATGTTCTAGAATTCCAACAGGTAGCTTCCCGATTGGATAATGCTAATAACCCCCTGTACGCGGATCGGAGGACTGTAATGATGATTTCGTTCTCACTAAAAACTATAAATACCTGACAATTTTGTACTATGATTGACACTGTTTGGAATAATATTCCTTTCGTTAGTCTTCTGTCTTCTTACTGCGACTTGGAAGGGTTTTGGTGTTCTAGTGCTCAGTTATACGCGGTAGTATCAAGAAAAATCAGTTTTTCAAGATATAACAGAAAGTGATTGAAGAGTTCAATTAGAAGACTTATCACATACACACACACATTAACCAAAAACTATTCAGAAAGAGAGCTAAAATAGAAAAGAAGAAAAAAGACAAAAACGAACCTAGGATTTCTTTCCGTTTCGATTGTGACAAAGCTGTATAATCAGTAGAACTAAACTGATGTGCATTGAACACATCTTCCATCTTCTCTATCAACTTTGCTGATTTATTAATTGTCAGTATTTGTTTGATTATATCAGCAGCATTCTGTTCAGCTAGTGCAACATTAGAAATTAATGCGGAACGTTGTTGTTTTCGTTTATCTTGTATAGCAGATAATTCAGCACAAACACGTGCTTCTTCCTTTCAATAAGAGATTTTTAAAAAGTACACCAGTATATTTTTAACATGCATTTAACGTATAAACTTTTATTTATTGAACTAAATATGGCGCTAAATTACCTCATTATTAAATATATATATCAAATGAAAAAGCAGAAGCGATCTATAAAGTATCCGACTGTTGACCTGAGATTTATAAAGGATTGTAATTTGTCTGAGTGACGTCATCGCAATACTAAGTTAGCAGCTAATATCAGTGATGCAGTCAGATATTGAGTCGAAAATAACGTAAAACCAGGCATATATATGCACAGGTCAAGGTTATCAACACAATGGGGCCAAATTATTAAGATTTTGGTTGTACCGGTGTCGGTGATATTGAAAATATTACGCATAGAAAATATGATTCAATAAGAATCAATGAATAAGAATAGGAAGTATAAAAACGTTTTGAAGTTAAAGATCTAAGGGAAGAGGGAAAATGCTTCTGCATCATTGTAACAGATTTTAAGCCATATCACCAAGCGTTACCAACCACTGGTCACGATAAATACCAAGACTACAACCAGGAAGTTTGAACCTACAAACATTGACTTACATACACAGTCAGTGATTTGATGGACTGAAGTTAAGTCTTAACTTGATCACTTCTAGCTTTTTACCAAAGTGCTTCTATATCAGCAAACGTCGAGCGTCGAGGAAGACAGTAAGTAAACACACGTAATAAACGTCCGAACCACCCCAGTCAATTCATACCATATCAACGGATATGTCATCGCTCTCCATTACTTTACGTCTAACTTCAGCATTGTTCACCCGATGATCCCAACATATATTATATCCTAGTGAAGATTATATTACTAGCAACGTCTGAGACTTATTAATGGACTATTATTATTTATATATTCTCATGGTATAAATATTCGGTAACTAGATTATCTATATCTATATTCCCCTTGTTATAAGCTTTATTTTAACCTATAATTTATTATTGTACGATTTACTGTTCTTAAGCTATGTTCAGTTTATTGACTACTGCCTCCCACATTTACAGCCATCTTTTGGCTTTATTGTGTACAAATGTTATTTCCTATTTTATGGTGCGTTGCGGTCCGTTTGATTGATATATAAACCCAGTGTGTCTGAAATAAATTATTCGATTCACATAGTGGAAACTGGTATTGGTGTTCTGGACTCAAGTGGATGGGCTAGGCGGGCATAGGACCAATAAGGACGCTAGGCTGCTCATACTGGTCGAACGTCATTGGTTCGGCACAGTGCTGAGATTGTATAAGTCGTATTTTGATTGGTGGATAAATCACGCAATAAAAAGCCGGACATAAAGTCATAACACATAAGCGACAAATGAGTCAAAGACACTCATGATTAAAATCCTGAGCCCCAACCTTGCGTTCAACTTTCAGAAGCCATGTTTCCCAACGATATAGTAATACATAGTTAACTGTTACACAGTATACTCGGCCTTTAATAGGAAGATGAACATCTTGCCTATATTGTAAGTCAAGAGAGACTCTTAAATTTGTGAAGAGCTCAAGTCAGACAGTAACCAGCTGAGGTTGATGAGACTTTCAGTAGAATTAAAGTTGCCGATGCGTTCGACTAACTCATTTCCAACTATTATTTTATATGATGACGTAAACCAGTGCAAATTCGAGTCATCGTTTCTAACCTCAACGTATTTGTATCTTCTTTTTTTTGAGTTCTCATTGTGATTTTTGCGTATGACAAGAAATGGACTGATATATTGTTGTAATTGTTATAACTTGTCAATTGAATGCTGATTTTCTTGGCTCTTTCTTTCCATTATATCAGTATTAGTTCAAATAATGAAAGAATCAATACGCTATTGAATGTATCAGTAAAAGATAATCAAAACAGTAAACTTCTATGAAGTCAAAGTTTAGGATTTAATTACCACATACGTAAGAATTTGATTATTTTATAATATATAAATATTGAATATGATAGACTATCTTAATCAACAATAAATAGTACTTACTTCTGCTAATTGTACAAGTATTTGTTTATTTTGATTCAATTTAGCATTTAATTCTTGTTCGGTCCAACGACTTTCCAATGATTGACGTTCTAATTCTAAGGCTAGAAGATTTTCTTCGTTTCGTTTTTTAGTATAATTAGTTAATGATGATGATGGTGTTGCTGTCTGGAGATAATTAAAAATAAACAGATGAATTGATAGAAACTGATTATTATCAGGATGGGCGATTGCGGAGATTGAAGTAATTTCAATAGATGAATTCATGAATCTTTAGTAGCTTAAGATAGTATGATTGATTGTTATTGACATATAAATGTCGCCAATCCTCGTATATAATTATCGACTTAACTCACGTTGGTGAATAACGGAATCAAATAAGTCAAATACGAGAATAAATTTCGAATACTTATATTTCGTACAATTGTTGGTCGAGACAAACGATCGAAAGAACGAAGCATAGAAAGGGAAGCGAAATGACACTCAGTGGAGAAGGCGTGTGAGCCAACTCCCTTTAATCAAGTGTTAACCAATATTTATAGCCATATAAAAATAGGTTACGGACATGTGATAAACGGAATAAGACGTGTGCACACACATGCGCTCATATAGAAACAGTCATGATTGATAAGCGAATAACTAACAAGGTCGAAACGTAACTCAAGTAGAATGGATAAATTGGTCTGTTCAGAAGCTAGATAAAGGTATATGGACTTAACATAGCAACCGACACTACAAATCAATCTAAGCTAGACCACCATTGAAAACTTGAATTTCTTGGAGTTCTAGTGAGAAGCCATAACCAGTGGAGTCCAATCCGTGTCGGGCGGAGAAAGTTATCCATCACAGACAATGAACGAAGTTGATGCAATATCATGGGTTGAGTAAAGTAAGATATTAACACCGTTGGATGCCGGCTCAATGGTCTACAGGTTAAGTGTTCGCGTGTGAGACTGAAGGTCTTAGGTTCGACTCCCTATGAAACTCCAGTAGTTCATGGAATTATCATCAAATCTTATGATCTCCCTCTTCAGCAGGTCTAAAGCTTTAGATATCATTGTTATCCAACCCTTTCGAGGAAGAATATCAACTGTACGTGAGGCAGATGTAGACTCATACGACATACCCTTGTCAGCCACAACTTGATCATAATGTTCACTCCCCTTTTGACGTAAACGTTCTAACTCAATTTCTCTTTCTACCTGAGCTAAACCTGCTTTATCTAGTTCCAGCTCCAACAGAGGTTCTATTCGGTAGCCATTTCTTCTAAATTGGTCGTCACTATGAATTCCTGAATAGTGAGAAAACAATTTAGGAATCTGATCAGTTTTATGATTCTCCGTAGACATTTAAGAGTACTCAATGTATGGTTTTTTGATTAATTGACTGTTCGAAACTTTGTAAGAAATTACTTCCTACAGTAATAGCACGTATTAAAATAGTCATAGAAGATTAAAGAAATAGATGGATACTAAACTGTTTGTATGGCATACCACAAAATTTGAATTTGCATTGAATTAGAACTGTGTCTAAAAGAAGTTACATAATTTGAATGACGTTTACTTCAACATTACATCATCAAGTTTCCTTTCTGTACGAGCCGCCAGTATTGGAAGATATCTAACCTGTACTGTTGTATTTTCGGTATTCAAAAATTCACTGACCAGCTAACTACTTATGAGCTAGTCAAGATAGAAATTATTTTGAATAATTACCAAAAAATAACAAGTGATGTTGTGGTGTGTGCTACTTATATTGATATAAGCAGTATATGACGCGAGTTAAAAACGTTATGTCTGGGCAGCAGAAGATGGGGGAAGATCAAGAAAGGAAGAGTGAGAACACCATGCAATTTGTAAGAAAACGCATGAACAATGAAGTGTGAGACAATGGATTGATGTTTGCAGCAGGAACAGTCCAGGTTGATATGATGGATTGATATTTTGCAAATTAACGATTTGCTATATGGTTTTTCTAGTTTACCAAGTAACTCTGTAATTTTGTGCTAAATACATTCCATTGTCCCCACCCGTGTTCTTGTTACTAAAATATATGTAGTTAACGCAAAAAAATTATTCACTGTTAATAGCATAAAGAAAATTGGTTCTAACAACTGAATTGAAGTTTATGGGACTTACATTGTTGGAACAACTTTGCATATTTTGTTCATTCGTTTGATTAAAAGTATTATTCTTATTTGTGGAAGTGTAATTACTAGCCACATTTTCATGATTTACAACAACATTATAACATTTCATTCCTTCTTCTGAAAATAGAAAAAGGTCAATAATATAAATAACTTACAATTAAACGAAAACTTTTCTTTCACTACTTTAATTATAATAAAATAGATATCTCTAGGAAATAATTAGACCAAGAAATTGATACATTCACGATTGACAAACATATTAGTTATTTTTTGATGGAGTTTTGTTCTCTGAACTGGATGGTTTGGTCGTGGAGCATTCATCATTCTTCTGAACGACATCATCAGCACAAACTTCAGGTAAAAGTGAAGTGTTCGAATTTCTCCACATGTGGTTCACAGCTTGTATTATACACCTCGATGTTGACTGGTTTTTGTTGTATCACCCAATGGAAGATACAACCAAAACAAAGAAGTAAACAATGATAGGTTTAAGGCCAACAAGAACCAATCAACATCGAGGTGTACAGGACAAGTTGTGAACCATATGTGGAGAAACTCGAACGCTTCACTTCGATCTGAAGTTTTTGCTAATGATGTCGTTCAAAAAAAAAACAATGAAAGCTCCACGACCAAAACATCCAGCTCAGAGAACGAAACTCCATCAAAATCATCCACTTGAGCTACAAATCTTCACCGTCTTAATATTAGAAACTGTATACACGCTTGATGGTAATCAGTGACGCATATGAAACAGATTAAGATGGATGAAATACTGTAAGTTTATTTCATGTGTTTTTATGGTCTAGCTTCTTAGTTTGTCTAGGTAGTAGTTTGAACAGTTCAACTATTTGATATGAATCAGTTTAGTTACATCGATAAAAGATAAGACCTCTTTTAAGAAGACAGATTCTAAACAATTTGTTTACAATGCTCAGCACAAATATAATCTAAGTATACTGATGGGTTCATTCTTTGCCAGTCAGCACTTATGAATGAATCCAAAAACATACAACAAGCTGATCGTGTCATTTTTCGATAAACACTTGTATTTTAATTTATTTTTATTTTTCCACTTTTTGTCTAACTCATCTTCCTCAAACCCTTCAAACTGAGTAAAGTACAATATTCGAAAGAGTTTAGACAGGGTATAATCATTGTCTCCAGTAGATAATTCAACAACTCGAATAGTTATATTGAACCCCCAAGCCTTGCCCTTTTAGTGTGTTGCCTATAATCATAACGTCATAATTCTATAATAATTCTATCAACCACGAAATTTACATCAGAAAACAGTAGAAGATCATAAGCAAAACAGTAAAGACCCCTAGATTAGTAAAATGTAAGCAGAAATACTTAAACAAATAAGCAAACTCAGGTAACAAAAACCGTAAGTAATCACGACATTTAGTACTCCCAAGTCACATTACCTAGAACGACCGACATTCCACTTTGATTTTCAAGCAGATGTAATTCATAGAGTTTTTGATTTCCTGTACCACTCAAACCAAAGATCAAAGACCATATGAATTAGTTCTCTTGCTCAGCATAGTCAATTATATGCTACTCTTTTAACCTCCTTTTACTTTATCTAACATACCATATCAAAGTAGACGATGATTGGGACACCTTTCTCATTCATAACCATTTAAGAGGTAACCGATATTAACAGACTCAACTTATGACTCTATAACTACTCCATAACATACAACTTCAGAATTCAGTTAGTTTCACCGAATATCATGAAAAAAATGTACGACTCCAAGCTGACTGAGCATGCGAATGTGTACTAGGTAACTAAAATTCACTACAATTTCCCATTAGCTTAGCTTACTTCCATTACACACATGAAGTGCAGTTTGAAAATATCCATCAAGAAATATTTGTAGCTTAAGTATGTCTAACACTCTTAGTAGTCATATTTTAAATGCGTCATTTAAAGAGTAAAATAATGTCTCTAGCAAACATTTGAATATCACTCCAATACTGTAAGTCGATTAATTTGAGACGATAGAATTATTTCAATAATTCCTATTGGATGATAACACTGAATTCTTAATACATGACAATCACAAGTCAATCTGTAAAGTTATATAATAAACAGAATTTGTGAACTATATAAGACAAAAATATACTTATGAATATGAAGTATGAAAATATGGCATAATAGAAAAAATAGAGAAAAATACAAGAAAAATAAAGTAATACTTTTAGCAAAATATACCTTGAGATAAATAATCCATTATTGCTGTCAGTCCCAGTTTACATATATCTAGAAAAGAATAATCAATATAAAAAGTATATATTCAGCTGGAAATACATAACTCTTTGCCCTCTATATTATTATAATAAAATTTCAGTAATACTAATAAAGAATAACTGTGCAATATCATGGATTGGATGTCAACTTAGAGGTTGATCTAAGGTTAGACACACCTCGCGAGACTTGAAGGATCTGGATTCGATCCTCAGTGGTTAGGGTTATGCGTGTGCATTGGTCAAAAGTCTTATACTAAGGTTAACAAGTTATCCAGGGTTTCTTGGTTTGTAATGGTTAAGATCAGTCGGTGATGTAAACTATGAAATTCAAAAATCTCCACGAACCCCTTATAGTAATAATAATCATGTGCTCACTAGTGGCTAAATTTGAGAGGTGATTCCTGATGTCTCAGCGAGAAGCCGTAAATAGTGAGGTTCAACCATGTCACGTGTAAACCGTTAGATGCTGGGTTGATGCTCTGCAATAATAATAGTAGGAAGAAGAAAAAAAGAAGGGAGTTTTCCTACTTTCCCTATTAAATGAATTTTCAAATGACATAGGTCATAATCAATATAAAAGTTCACTAGTTTGACATGTAACAGGGTCTATTAGTTTATATATGCAACATTTCGACCATTGTAGCACAGAAATTATGGATTTCTAAATGTAGAGACATAATCAATTTACTGAAAACGATAGTTTGCTCGAGTAACTCTAGCAGTTAATTACTCAATGCGGAATCTTTCCAGATCGTTTTACTCTTCAAAAAGAAGAAAAACATGTTCATAAGTTGTACTGGAGCCCATATGGTCGGACCTTATTATTAAAACATTAGTATTGTCTAGTCAAATTATTGATTAGTTCGCTCTAAGGATGTAGGCCAGATGAGCTATTTTATCAATATCTGAATGAATAATGAATAAATACCAAGACCTTAATGTTTGTCAGTCGTCCGACTAATTAATATCCAGTATCCAATCAAAAGAAGAAATTAGCAAACAGATAAAATCCTTATTTCACGGCTGTTTCCATATATGAGTGGACTCATACAACAATATGGTGTAATATTCTGTTCACACACCAACATAAATAAGAAATAAGTGCGCATAACTACACAGTATGTGTAAATGAAACTATGTGACTGGTCCATAATAAATTAACAACAACCTCTTGCTCCAATTACTTCAATATTCTGACTAACTAGATAGTATCAAACTAGCCGTTCAAACAAACAGTTTGACTCAAAATTTGTATTTAACAACTGAATTACATTAGCTATTTTCTTTTTAATGAACAACATTGAGATTTCATGAGATTACACTCACCTGAAGTAGGATATTGTATATGATCGCAGGAAAGAGTTAATTCTTTCAAATCTTTCAAATAGCACAATTGTTTAGGTAAAGATGACAAAGGATTATTTTTCAAATAAAGTTTAGTAATATGTTGTAATTTCCCAAAATCTGATGGTAATTCAGTAAGACGATTATCTGTAGAATAATTAAAATAAATTTTCTTGACAAAATGTGAATATATTTTTGTTTCTTATATCTTGAAAGTAAAAGATTTCTGAGTAAACGATGTTATAACTACGACCTTGAGCGGTTTATTACGCAACCAGAAAAGTGTTTAGTTTTGAAGCAATTTGTGACGAACAGTAATAAAATTGCAATGGGATAAACAACTTTAATATGATAAATAAACAAGAATCTGTTAGGATTAAAAAATAGGAGCCCAGGTAGGAGTCGTGAGTTACTATTAGGAATGTTATTGTTAGAAGTCCGGGTTAAGAGTGTTAAGACTGGGAGTTAGCAATGAGGATTAAGTTAAGGGTTAAGATTGTTAGAGTTAGAGAGTTTGTTTACCCCTAAAACACGTTTCTCTATGTTTTGGATCACTTTAATTACATTCAGATAGTCTGCATTAGGAGCATGTGTTTCTTGTAATTCAGCGTACACTCCACTTTGCATTCACTACATAGTCGCACAAAAGATACTTTTAACAGTTTCAAGTATTTGGGAAACTGAGTATAGACAATTTTACTTGCTTTTCAGTAAGATATATGTTATCTTTCACTGCGTTTTGTATTTTGAACACACTCTAATAGACGTCATCTTAAATTTGATTGGTTCCCTGAATATTATTGTTTTAATGCGGTTCAAACGATTTTTGACCATAAAACAATCAATATTTAGGAAAAATAAGATTTATTTAATTAAAAACAACTGAAATATTTTTAAGTACAATGAATATTGAGTGAAAGTTTGCTTACAAATCTACAGTTCATTATTGAGTATCGAACATTTTGTTAAGTTAGTGGAACAATATTTACTTAACCTGAAATATTCGTTTATAATCTTACTTAATGAGAACGAAAGAAGGAAGTAATAATAAACAACGTTATATCCACCGTATAAGTTAAAAGTTGCAGTGACTGTCACTAAATTGATAGTAAGTTAACTTTTCAAGCGACAAATGCTTGGTTTCGCATCTGTGTAAACAAAAATACTGAGATGCAACCTCAAATCAGATGGGACCTGAGCTCAATACTATGCATTATCTAAAATGCTTACAATTAACTTGTAGTCACAGAAAATATCAAGGTATTCACTCAAGGAACAAACATATCAACAGAGATTGGTTAGATGTAATCTCGAATATCAACAACGGGAAAACATAAAACCCATATACACACAAGGAAGAATATCACTAAGGACATGTGTGAACAACACTGGGAGAAAATAGTATAGCGTAAAATTATCGTGAAAATCTTTATACTTCAATTTACCTTCAATGTTAAGAAATAAAAGTTGAGAAAGAGATGTGATGGTAGATGGTAATGTTGATAATAGATTTTTTGAAGCATTTAAAACCTAAACATATAATTTTAGGCTATTAATTTTACCGGAAACAATATAATCAAAATATTACCTGTAAACATTTCAACTCAGAAATATTATTAGGTAATTGTTGAAATTCATTTGAACTTATATCAAGCAGTACAATATTTTGAAGATATGTTAGTTTACCACCAGAATCAAGTTTTTGTAAGGAATTTTGTTGTAAATATAATTTTGTTTTTAGTAAAACTTTAAAAAGTGAAAAAGTTCCTTCAGGAATCTAAATATTAATTGTAATCCTATCAAATATAAAGTATATATATTACCATTTTAAGTTCACACGAAGACAGATCAAATATATCATCTGGACGTTCTCGAGCCTAAAATTTATACAGATATAGAAAATAGAATAGGTATACAATCTCAAAAAGAAAATATTTGTAAATATATTACGAAATACTAAGAAATAAAAACACACTTAGAAAACTGGCAGCCTAATTTTAAAAAATTCGAACAAATATTTCTAATATCTCAAACGTATTCTCCACGTACATAGCTTAATAAGAAATACATTGAGTTCAAATCACTACACTTACAAATAGTACAACACAGAAAGTACATATAAAAGGAGGAAGGTATTCAAGTCAACAAGGAAAATTTATAAGTATGATAGATTATTATCAATTCATTTACCAGGTACAGGCTTGTATACTTGACTTGAAGCTAAATTCTAAGTGTGAGGGTTAGTAGTGATAGTACCCAGTCAGTCGAACCGAAATAGATGGGAGTAGCGTTGGTACAGACTACATAGTGGCTGAGTTCAACACCCCGACTACTGAGCCACTGCTTTTCTGATAAGTATGAAGAAACCATTTGTCTGAAGTTCAAACGATGATTTTAATTAGGTGAATGTTTTATTTATTTATTTGAACACCTTAACTTTGGTACAAGGGGGCACCAAATACACATGCACCATACAATAAAAATGAGGGTTTGAAAAGACAATAATAATTATTATTACATTATCATAGGAGGCAGATCAGTTAGGAAAAATATAACCAGAAAGTTCTATTAATTAGGGACGTTACACTCATTTTTATGAAGTGAATGAAAATCGCAGAAGGATAGCCGTTGGATTCTATCCTGAATCATATCTGATAACGTCTCAAGCCACTGTGTTGCACCAATTTTAGGACCCCAACTAAAGAGTCGTGACGGACCAACAGATGACAGTCCTGTACAGCTTAATTTCATACCACGACACCATGCGTTTACTAAATTTCAGAATTCACAAGAGGATTATTTTGATTCGTCATAGCAACACAGCATAGGAAAAGCGATATTGCTGAAATTTTCTTGTGTTAAACTTAATTTTTAGTGAAGCTTTTTTCGTCCAGACTATAATTTATGGACGAACCAGTAAGATATATGATAACAGGTCTTGGCGTGAAATTCATTTGCCCATCTAGCTATATAGCGCCTTGGCATTTTAGCTGATGTCAGTTCGTGATGAAAACTCTAAACCTAGTTCCTAATTATCAACTGTAACCTATAGTTCTAATTCCTCAAACTGCTTTATAAGTTATTTAGTCCTAGTTAATAAATGAGAATCCTCAGGGTCACTTCAGCGTCGATCACAGGTTGTCCACAAAGCATAGTCTCACCGTTTTTTTTTGATGAACTGACTTTCTGACGTGCACGTGACACGTTGGAACTAATGAAGCGTACTTCGTGAGGGCCTGTCCGATTTCATATGCACTTATTAGTGAGGACATAAATAGTCCATCATCTGTAACTTATTTTGATCGTCGTAAATGATAATGGTACACTGAACTTACAATTAAAATACGTAACGAGCATCTGTCCATCAATAGACAGATCAACAGTTGTTGATCTCCCAATAAACTATGATGTTATTTCTCGTTCATAAATATCTCAATCCATGTATCATTTTTTAATGTATTCGACAGCAGTCATCGTGTTATACGATGGAAATAAAGGTGAACATATGAGACACTTGGGACTAGACGAAAAGGAGATCATTCGAATGATCGGCCGTATTTCAGACAGACAGCGACAAAAAGGAGAAATCCCGCATTATTTTTATGCGTTTCTCCTTGATTTTCTAACGGAATTCACATTTTGTTTCCTCTTATTAGCCTTTATTTCCCTTTTACTGGTTGCTTGAGCTACATTAATGTAACGATTTATAAATCGACAAATCGTTTATATTGAAATCAATGCCATCAGTTTCAATTGAATTTCTCATTTTAGGTAGCATTTGGTTTTAACCTACGAGGTACATTTTTTTCTCGAGCAACCGCCTCGATCCATCAGATTGGTTTTTAGAAAACATCAGTGACCTAGAATCGTAGACACCTTAACTGAAAATCCACTTCTCAAATGTATTCACTATTCACCACGTTCAAAGAAGTACTTAACTGATATAGAAAGTAAAACATTTAGACTACTTTCATGTGTAAGCCATCGAAGCACTTCGAAAATACTCAGTGTAAGATTGGAAGTTAGTTTTTTAGATCTTACCTTTCATGAATCACAAATGCCTTGATATAACCCACACGGGGTCTCACTTTGTCCACTTGTATGTTTATTTATTATTTTTTTAATCCCACAACTGTGTGATTGATATATTGAGGACTTTTTTTTATCAAAAACTAAGTGAGTTCAACGTTCTTACTCGGTTGTCAAACTAGATATTTTCTCGTCTTATCTTACCAGATTCTTTACCTACGGATCTAAAGAAGCTACTATAGCACATAGTGAAGCCTCAGAATAAACCTAAATCTACCAAAAGCTAGACTTCCCAATGATTCCGCAATAGTTTTCAAAACTTCTTCACATCAATTAAATTAGTTACAAGTACTACATAACAGGACATCTATTCAGAACCGAAAATGAAAAAGCTTGCAGGAACATTTGTTCAGAATTTCATGTGGTCGAAAGTAGTAGACTACGAAACGTCTCAACAAAAGTAATAGGAGTGGAACTTATGTAGAATCGTTTGGAAAAAATTGTTGTTTCGTTCTTCAGTAGCAAGGATAGTATGTCAGTGCCTCTAGCTAATCCTGACAGTTTGCCTTCTGGTGAAGTTCCAGCTACTTCCTGAAGATGTTCGCTGATGAGGCTGATAAAACTTGTCTGGGTAAGGCGTCTTAGTCATTGACTACTCAATAAGAAATAAAGAACCCCACTTTAAGTTTATCAGATCGCGGTTTGTGAACTTTTTGATATAACCTTGGAGATTATCAGAGCTGGAGGGAGCAAAATAATAAGATATATTAACACCCGGATCGTAATTTAAGATACAAAATGGCAGTATAAAGTCACTGAGCATCCCGGGGTACGACAAGGGGAAAAGGTTTAGGCATTTTGAGTGCGTCTTTATGTTCCTGAACGTGCCATTAATAGTATACTGGTAATTATTACCGTGTATGACGTGCGTGAGCACACGCTTCCTAGAAACAACTTCTAAGCCTCAACCTTAAGCCCATCTGGTTAATTCGTTTTGGTCAACTTGGAGATCGAAATGATCAGCCTCACTTCTGACTGTTCCCCAGATTTTGACATCATTCGCAAACAATAATGTCGACGACTTAAGCAATCACGGCATTTTATTAACGTAGAGAAGAAAGAGTAGGAGACATGATATAGTGCATTGAGGTACATCACTTTTGACCAGCTTCCATTCGGATAACGTTCCATTAACCTGCACTCTCTGTCTGTGATCACACAAGAAGTTTTCTCACCATTTCTGTACATCACCTGTTATCACGAAGCTCGAGAGATTCTGCATATAACCTTTTTATGAAAACTTGTCAAACGCTTTGTTAAAGTCTATGAATGTCACATTGACAGACAGACCGTTATCTAGGGATGCCGTCTATTCCCCTCTCGCAATAAGTTAGTCGAGCATGGATGCTTGTTTCAAAACCCGTGTTGCTCGGGAGTTAACAAATTGCAAGAATCTATGTGACTTGGCAAGTTAACCGGAATTATCTTCTCAAATAAATTAAGGACTATGCTGGTAAGACTGGAAAGTCGGTAGTTAGATACGATCTGTCTCTGACCATCCTTAAATATAGGACTGACTATAGCGTCTTTCCAATCTAGGAAGTTGAGCCAGTGAAAGGGATATGTTGAAGGGCATCGCGAGTGATCTTGAAATGATGTCCGCGAGGGATGACGGTAGTCGTGGATGTAACCCATCAGGGCCTGACATCTTAAAGGTTTGAGGTTAGTGACCAATAGAAGAACAGTTTCCTCAGTCACCTGTACAGATTCAATGGGTGGTATCTCGGTGTGATTGGGATAAGTATTTGTAACAATACACGTAGAGTAGACTTCGCTGAAATAGTTTGAAAAAGTCTCAGCTTTTGCCCGATCTGGTTCAGCTAGTAAATCCGGGCCCTCTCTTTTACAAAGACCACAAATTCTTCAAAGCTCTACTCCTTCCCGTGCATCATCGGCGAGTTCCACCCCCTTATTCTGTAATTCTATTGGCAGGCATGAAACTATTATTTCCAAATTAGCCGTAAAATTAACATCAGACATGTAGCCCATTTCCTTCAACATTATACATACATTACGTAGCTTAATGGGTTAAGACGTCAGCTGATCCTCCAACAGGTTTGTGGCTCAATAAATCAGTAACCAGTTCTCATGCAACAAGGTGCTCCTTACCAAATAGGTCATATAAAATTCGTTTAGCTCTATCATAACCCAAATGACTGGGCAAAGAAATGTAAGCTTCATTAGTCGTCCTGATCTTTCCTTTGCAATCATATAACAAATACGACAACATTTAGACCTTATCGGACAGCTTACTCTCGATAATGCTGCTAAACTGACTAATAAAACGGCAGGACTGACTTGGTTGTCCATCAAAACACATATCAACATTATGTAAAGCCATATTATTAACCATAGTATGTAACAACAGCCACACAATCCACAAAGCTGTGAACACGAGACTACTCAGAAGATAGATATTCAATATTTAACGCGGAGAAATACCTAACAATGGAGAAGGCGCGGAGGAGGAATTGAATGGACTGGAGTTGATCGAGTGGCATGGCTCGACCATGCAGGCGTGGTCTCTGCTGAATGTTACCTTATATCTTCTATTCATATTAAATATATTGTTCCTTCTCTAGCCTAACCTTGTTCTACATAATGTACTGGTAATTGATACGATACAGTGAGTTGATGTAGTCGATGGTGTGACTTCCACGTAAGATCTTATAGATTAGGCAGTTATATCATGACAAATCTACAATTTCAGGATTAGGTCTATTATTAGAGCAGTACTAATATCATAGTAGACCATAATTCAACATACTAATGCGGCAGTGATTTTTGTACTTGTTGTGATTATACTTGCTTTGGGTACTTATTGCATCAAAAACATTCTCGGTCTACTTTAACTAAAAGTACTTTGGTTAAAGTTTGAATTTTTCGCTCAATTTTGTCCTATGTACGTTTTTTACTCCTAGACTAACACTTGTGTTCACATTGTTTTTAAACCTTTTAAATCTAATTGCAATGGTTGGTAAGACTCACAAATATGGGCAACCAAATTGTTTGCTCCCCGTTGAGGAGGGAATGCAGTGTGATGACTGTTAAAAGTGGTACCACAAAATGTGTACACGCCTACGTTCGATGGCATACGAAAGATGCTCGAAGCCTAACTCGCATTGTCTTTGTATGTTCTGCTGTACGGATAAAAAGGTACTAAATCAGGAGCCTATGGGCCTATTGGCTTTGGCTTGCAAGAAAAACGCTGACACATGCGCTGACAACACCGGCACTGACAGTGACGATTGTGTCAGTGTAGTACCTGCTGTTACGCGACGCCTCAAACAACCGACTCTGACCGACGCAAAAGTGAGATTGCCGTTAACATTAACAGGGGGAGTAATACCACCTGGTACTGATATTGATAACAATGCACCTTTAGTGGGAACCGACGAACTGGATAAAACCATCACCGTTCCAAATAGTCCGAATGTCCTGAGGGATGAAAAATGGACTGCGGTACTTAGGAAACGAAACGAAACGAAAAAAGCTATAGGCAGTACACAGGTAGTTAGTAACTCACTGATGGACTCTCATTGTGAGTCACATACTGCACCACCAAAATATGATGGTAAGAGTGAAACCCATCTTGGCGTGACTGGGAAGAAAAATCAAATAACAGCTGAAACTAATGACTGTTTAATGAAAAGTCCTTTGTGGACTCTCAGACCAACCCGCCAAAGCTCCAAAGTAAAGCTTCGTCTAACACTGTTGTGAGTCACTCATAGGACTCTGTTACAATAAAAGCTAATCGTAAGATTGCAGTAGTTAATATACAGGATCTATCGTCGCGGTCGAAAGTCGTTAATACAATTTCAAAGGAAGCTAAACCGCTTCCTGGTTTAATTATTTGGAATCTAGAGGAGTCGAAAGACAATGACCCTAATAAAAGACATGCAGAAGGTCTGCAGTTAGTGAAACCTATAGTCAGAAATGTACTGCCTGAAGAGGTTTCAGGGGTACATATATGTAGTGCCATTGGACAATAGCCACACAATCCACAAAGCTGTGAACACGAGACTACTCAGAAAATAGATATTCAATATTTAACGCGGAGAAATACCTAACAATGGAGAAGGCGCGGACAATGAATTGAATGGACTGGAGTTGATCGAGTGGCATGGCTCGGCCATGCAGGCATGGTCCCTGCTGGATGTTATCTTATATCTTCTATTCATATTAAATATATTGTTCTTTCTCTAGATTAACCTTGTTCTACATCATGTATTGGTAATTGATACGATACAGTGAGTTGGCGTAGTCGATGGTGTGACTTCCACGTAAGATCTTATAGATTAGGCAGTTATATCATGACAAATCTACAAATTTAGGATTAGGTCTATTATAAGAGCAATACTAATATCATAGTAGACCATAATTCTACATTGGTGAGCCCAACTAAAGAAACGCAACCTATTATTATTAATCCTTATTTCCACTTAAACTTTCTCGATCGATTTTATATTTATGTTAACCCTGTATTCTAATAGTCCTCTGATTAATGCTCACATGCATTATCGTAATGTTATATTGATTAGTCCTCATGACAAACTAGCTCAATCGACAATAAAAACTGGTCGTCTATATTAACTAATTAGCTTTGATGATTTGTTAACAAGCTGTAATAGCGTTTACATGCTTCAGCGACATAGTCTTGTTTAAACATCAAGCTCTAGCAAATATGACCTGTAAATAGCGTAAATATACATTGACTAACAATGCGATCAAGGACTAAATAGTTATCTGGATCTAATTCTCAGTGTTCCTTCACTTAACACCTCATCCTGTTTTAAACGATGCACTATCCTGTAATATCTTTTCTTCCG